TCAAAATAAAGAAATACTGATTAAAATATTATTTCATTATATTCACGACTGCCATTTGAAAATGACATTGTTATCCTAAATTCATCATTGTTAGAGTAACTATAAGAAAGTATAAGCAAAAATAAAGCATTTTATTACATTCTATTCTATTTCAGAATGATTATTAGTTAATAATAAATAATATAATAATAATAATAAAAATAGTACTATGAGTATATATTTTATTCAAGTATCCAAAGTGGACAATACTAATGAGAATACTGTCTCTTCTAATGTTAAAAGCATAATTTAATGTCCCAAATGAGTAATTAATATTTTAGAATAATTAATATACCTTAAGTATATTAATTTGTTCAGAATATATTATCATTAACGGATGCAAAATCACTGTCCAACAAAGAAGTCTTTTTTTATCTTTTTAAGAGCACGTCGATGATTGCAACGCTTCAGAAGAGACACATTTTTTATAACTGCGAGATTCAATTTTTATTTCGATTAAACAAGTCAATATAATCTGCCGAGACTCATTAGAACATCAAATAACGATAAGCAATATCGGTACCGTGAAAAATGTAGATTACCCATTGGTGCACTTAATAATAATACAATAAAACAACAGAAAATATAATAAAACATCGAAAATATATCTCTTTGTCGAAAAGGTACTCTCGTCTGGACTTGTATGGCACTCCATACGACTATGGGAAAAGAAACGGAAAATAAAATCCCTCGCAACTGCGCGTTCGAATTCTCTTCCATTTCCTTTGGCTCAATTACATTGTTAGATTCGAAGTACAAGGTGTGTACGGTGAGTGTTATAGGTTAAAAGCCAAGATGTATTAGTTTTACGTATTAATTTATTAAATTGTTGCACAAGAAATGGCGTCTCCGTGAATCAGCACGTCCGGCTGCAGGTTGCTTCGAAAGTATCGAGAAAATCGGCCAATGATCTATAATGTACTTATCTTTTCATCATTTCATCAGTAGAAATTAATAGAGTTTCTATTGAATAGAAGATTGTATATTTTAATACGAAATTATGACTCCACGTAATTTGTTTAAAGAAGGATTAGCCAGTGATTTATTTACGTACAGACATGTTCGTTTCTTCCATTTAGGTTTACGATCGTTTAAACTGAAATTTATAATTGCACTAATTTGAATGTACAAGGAGTCGTTCCCCAAAGTTGTTAGAACAGATAAACATCGCCCAAAGTTCCCACAAAAGTTTGCCATTTCATGTACAATAACCTAATGCTTATATAACAATTTTAAGAGATGCGTTATTATGTCAATCGTTTTAACGTAATCGAGTACAATCGAATAACTAATCTTACGAGTCCATTAGTTAGCGAATAAACAATAATTATTTCTCATAAAAGCAATATTTCACGGTTCTTATAACCGTTCTTTTGTTAGAAAGATACTTGCGATGTTAGTTAAAACATTAACGAAACGATCCGCCACAGAATATATGTATATATATATATACATGCATATGCAGTGAAGCATTTGAAATGAATCGAAAAGTGATTCCTCTTGAATCGATCAACTTTCAATAGAAAACCGAACAAAAGACGGCTCGTCTTTATTCATTAGTCTCGAATGATCCAATTATCTCCATTCGATTTTTTTCTCATTTAAACGAAGATTCTTTACTTTACGCAACGCAACATCTCACTTCGTTCTCCCGTAATATTTTTAAAAATAAAAACCTGACGAGATTGTCCCCGGGAATGGAATGAAAAATTCCCAGCGAGTCGTAATTGAAGTTCGCAGAATTTATGCAAATTCCTTCTAAACGCTTGTCAATGGGAAACAAGAATTCAAGAGTCGAAGTTCAATTACACTCCACCGCGAACGAATTTCTGAAAGTTTCAGAACCGGACGTCAATCTCTATGCATGCGTCGATGATGAAAGACGGAAAAGTATTAGATACAAAATCACAATTGCCTGTGAAGGAGAAACGTTTCAAACGATACTCGAACTATTAATCCTCGATCGTTTTGCGATCGAAATTTCTGCGAAATTTCGATTTCCGCGAATATCTCGGACACCGTGTACAATGAAAAATCAGGCGTTCGCGGTCGGAATAATCTTAGATTAACATTCGAAACTATTCGAAATTGCAAATAAGAGCTGCTTATCGTTACCGCTGAATAATAATATCAATGTAAATATATAAAAACCCACGGCAAACGGTTCACCGAGTGACGGCGACACGATCGGGATATCTTTTCCTGTTCGTCGGAGATAAATATTCAATCGGTTCGAACGGAAGTGTCGAAAAAATATATGTGTGATTATTTCGTTTCACGGAACAAGCTTCGAGCTTCGTCGAATGTTCGAGAGCCGAACCCTTATTCTTATACTGTTCACTTCCTCCACGGTAAACAACATATTTTAACACATTCAGGACGGTAACGAATTTTCTCGGAGTTACATCTTTGGCACCTGCTGTACTAGATTGCGGATCCTAACGGGAATCTCGACGTTTCCGTGTAATTTGGATGAAATCAGTCGATCAATCAAGGATTTTGCGAACAGAAAGTTTCATCGACGAATCGCTTGGCCTACGCTAACTCTTTATCAATTAATAGTACGATGATCGCTAATTGGTCGTGAGACCTGCAGGATTGTTTAATAATCATGACGACGTCCCATGATTATCCAGTAAGCAGGCCTTTTCGCTAATCGTGGCAGTGTTCCACTATAATATTAATTAGTTCCATGGCCGAGCCCATCCGAATGTGTTAATGGTCGCAATCGGTTCACCATCGGTCGCGAATAGAAATCCGAAACGAACGATAAACTGATTTCGATCGGCGTTAGACGATCTTTCCGTAAAGCGCGTGGACGTCAATTCTTTGTCACTCTCCAAAATTTCCCTTTCTTCGCCTTCTCATTTTTTACAACGGCAAGAACCTGAACGCTCTGGTCATCTACGGTTCCGAAAGAAAGAAGATTCTCGAAGACGTTAATAGAAACTCGACAGAACGCGTTCTCGCGTTGACTACCCATCGGAAGGGGTGCGCTAAACATCGCTAAAAGTAGCTTAAACAAGATCCGAATAAAATAGACTATTTGCGACATGCCGGATTCCTCGACGGAAAAAAGTCAGTCGAAAATACTATTCTCTTCTTTCTGGTAAAAAATAAACTTACTATTTCGTAAGGTATCTGTAAGATGCACCGTTTGTCCCAAACCTTTCTGAATTTCAAGGGGTTAGGGGCAAAGGGTTAACAAGATGGCGGACGGGTCCGACTTTAGTTTTTTGAAGGTATCAAATTATATTGAACTGTTCTTTCGTATTTGCACTTTTAAATTAGAGATGGAAAGATATTTATTGTAAGATAGATCGAACAAAAATTTCAAGGACGTTGGATTCTGTATAATTGTATGCAATGTTCTTTTTGAACGGAAGAGAAGTCAGTTTCAATGAACTGTAATAAAGATCATCGACGTTTTAAGCAAAATTGGTTTTGGGACAAACCGTGTATGTCTAAGAAAGTGGTCGTAGTATTTTTCACGCAGTATTTAAAATAATTTGTGCTTAACTTTGTTCATAGACGTACTTTTAGAATCAAGTATTCGAAAGCCAACAATCGTGTTTCATTTTTCCGACTATTTTTCCAGAATAGATTGCACAGCTTTTAGGTTTCACTAAAAATTTAGATCTTTCTACTTTAATACAATCGACATCTACAGCTTCGACTTCTTCTTATTATTAAAAATATTATGTGGACATAGACCTTGTAGTTACAGATTATGACCACTTTCAACGATCGCTTTGAATATAATCTCCCTTTGAAATTAGTTCTCACTTATCATTTCTTTTTTCTTTTGTACTGATCTAAATGTACTATACTCTCACCTTTCTTTCGCTTCTGTTTCTCATGTTGGAGGGGAAGACGTATCTTTAATGGCTGACAATTTTATGTTCTTGCACTTCCCTTTTCAGTATTTAATAGATATATGTATATGTATATATATGACAGTTTGCAAAGGAAAGAGTAAGAATTTGCTTCCTATGCACTGGTTTGAAGACCTCACATTATCAATGTGATAAAATATTCAAAGTAGAATGGGATGAAAAATATTTCATTAGTCTCTTTTCACTAACATTACAATTTCATATAACTGAAAAAATTATAGTAACTGTTTCGAGTAGAATTTACTGTATATAAATAATATTAAAAGTATCTGTAATAGTCTTCAATCCATTGCATTAAATATACAGCTGATTTTTAAATGTTCGGTATTACTGCAATGCAGGATATATAAAGAGTAAATTTACAAACATATGAAAGCGGCAAAGAAAAGTGTTGCATTTACTAGCTGAATATTGACACTTCATTATATAAAGTATAAATGATAATTTGCTTCTCAAGCGATGGTTTGCATCCACCATGATACAAAGCCACAGAACTTCCAACTAATTTTAATCTACTTATTTTATTATTTATCATATTAAGATATCATAAAAAAACTACCGAAAGTTGAAAGATACAGTGTTAAATTGCAAAGCAGTAATTACGCAATATATGTAGATTTACTCTCTAAAAATTACTGACAGAATCATAGCGGAATAACTCGGTGTGAACCGATTAACAGAAATGTGTGTTTTTATTAAAACCGTAAAGTTCAGAAAGCGGAAGGCTTCCGCGTCCAAGTATTCACCGAACAAACTCATAAATACTGTGTTAAGGTCAGCTTGATGCAAGCACTGTTAACATAATAATAAAGTGCGATACAACGGAATGCTCGTAATGCGGTATAAATATTATATTCTTTTGCTACGGCGGCGAGACGATATTGTATTTACAAATTGGCACTTTCTCCGGTTTGGAATAGTAATATACTTGTCGGTAATGTGGTTAGTTTTCCGATGCGTGGTCAAACGAGAGAATTTTGGATACGAACGCGACGAACGAGGATCACTCGTGCTCATTTGCTTCACGTGTCCTAAGCTGTACCAGCTTTTGCGGTAAAATAAAAGATCACGAATTTATAAATTAATTAAGCGGCGTGAAAGGGTTCAAACGAACTTCATTCGAAATAGAGAGCTCAACATTAACCGTACATTTCTACAAATATCATTACTTCATTCGAGAACAATATTAACATTAGCCCTAAATATACATGCTGCTACTGCAACTATTTCCAAACTTCAATATGATACTAATCGCTATCAATTTTTCTCAGTGTTCACTGGTGAAAAACGCCTTGTCATGTTATTCCCTACCTAGTATCACTATAATTCACTAAAGACTTCAAGAGCTAAGAAACGAAGTGAACGAGCACCAGTGACTGTTTAGATTAGCCCGTTCCGTCGCGTATCGTTCTAACAAGCAAGACAGATACCTTCAGCTTCTATTATACACAGGTTACTATGAATATGTACAACAATTACGGACGGTTGACTTCCACGTCGCTAAATATTCCGTCCAAACGTTCCGTCTTTCTCTCTCTCTCTTTCGCTCGTCCTTTCTCTCCCTCTCTCTCTCTCTCTCTCTCTCTCTCTCGCTCGCTCTCTCTCTTTCCTCCTTTCCTTCTTCCCTTTGTTAAGTTACTTACGTTATGATGAACACAATGATCAAAAGTTTTCAATCACAATAGACTCACGCGTATGCGACGGCGCGCATCCGCCTACATAATTCGATTCCCGGCTACGTCGCGCTGCCACAAGTTCCTTCAATTTTGCAAGTGAACCGCTGCTGATCGTTATTATCTGCTTGTCCTCGTGTTAGCTCTCCTTCTCCGGTCTCGTTTGCTCCCAACCGCGGTCGCGTCTCGGGTGTAACGTTCGAGACATCGACGACGAAAGCTTCGACGAAAGATCCGTTCTTGATTCCGCGTGCGACACCGATCGGCTGTCGATCGATGGGACTTACCGGCGTGGTTGAAAACACTGATCTCTAGTAAGTTCGATAGTAAGACTGGATAGAAATTATTGCATCCGAAGCATCGACTCGGAGGACACCGAGAGAAACCTGTACCTCTTACGCGCCGACTTGACCGGTACGAGCTGTGGCCAATGGAAGAGGTTACGGACCGCCGACGACAAGAGTCCTTCGTCGATCGGATCGGCTCGATACTCGCAAGAATGGAACGCGTCGGAAAACGTTATGCACGGACGATGGTGACAGAGATTGACTAGGCAATGTGCGTTTTACGTGACAATGTGTAACGCGAGGAGCGAGCGTCGCAAACGTGATCGTCGTTAATACATTCAGGACGTAGAGTTTCGTCTTCGATGGTTCTCTCTTCAATGTTCTCGACGCATACGCCGACCGCGCGGTTCTGCTTTCTCAACGATTCGATCGAAGTGGTTAATCACTAGCTGGTGGACCGCTAGTTCGAACGAACCCCAGCAGGACAAGGTAGAATAAAATTAGGCAGCAGCTCGCAGATGTAACACGGCCGTGTGTCAGGATATTACATTCGATCGATCCGCGCATCGGCTGGTCCTGAATGCGTTAAACGTATTTATAGCGGAGACACGGCCGATTCGATCGGTTGTGTTCAACGTGGTTTCATCTACGTTTGAGGTAGAGTAATTCGGGAATGAGAAAAAAGTGGAGTGTCACCAGTGGATGATAGAATAGCAGAGAAACCTTTGGCAGTAGAAAGTTTTGCTCCTTTCCTCAGCTAATTCCGAATGTCTGATCGCCTGGTCGCCGGTCTGTCTTACTCTGTTCGCCATTACTTAGCCCCTGGTATTTTTCCTAACACCTGAAAATTAGAAGAGAAATTAGCCGACGGTCTACCGGTTGAAATCGATTTAGATGGATCGCTTAATCGACTGAATGGATTCGAAACGTTGTGAAAGCATGACAATGCATCGCAGCTTCGCGCTGATGAATAGTGCAATGTCTACGTTCTACGATGATACTGTGCCGCGTTTACCTCGCGAGAAACGCAAACGCGATACCTAAACAATTTACCTTCGAACGCCAGAGTTATGCGAATACGCCAAATGCATTTATTTATGAAGGACGCTGTTCCGAACAGTTTATCATTCGAGCGAGTTTACAAGTAAAGTCGTTTGAATTTATATCTGGGAATTTCCCGGTAAATCGCGCTGTGGTCGAAGTTCCGACCGATTCGCGATTGATTGATACTTTGACGGGGTCACCGTTGCAAGTCGGAGAGTTTAGGAGACTGAACACCTTTTAAACATACTTTTGAAAGATCTACACCGGTCAGTGCTTGAACAGCTGGAGGTACTTGCCCTACAAGGCGTGTAATTTCTCCGCTGGTCGCGTCGTTCCCTCCTAGAAGAACTATCTCCTCCGTTCTACCCAATGGCGCTGCTACCTCTGCTGCGATCTGGAAATTACAACGACGATTTAATCTTACTGTAGTGCGATCGGTATTGTCAATAGGGATAGTTAACATGTTTCGTGCCGGACCATTTTTTTAAGACTTCCCTTTCAGGCCGTATGGGGCGTACACGATCCTACATTACAGTGTAGAGTTATAAGATAGAGAGTATAATATAGAGAGAATAATAGAGGATCTGCAAAGGTGGAATGTTGCATGTGAAACTGGGGTTTCCTCACCTTTGGCAGAGCGTTCAAAACGATGTTCAGAATGGCAGCTTCGCCGTACTTCTCGTACACGACAGCCTTCATCCGCATACGCTCAGCTTCCGACACTCCTATTACCTCCAAAGCGTGAGCTTCGGCGTCTCCGATCAATCGAATTTTCTCGGCCTCGGCTTTGGCTGCGTCTACAGTCTGCGTCCTAAACACGATCACGTTCAATACACGTTTTCTGTTCTCCATTTTCGGTGTGCGTAACGAAGGCGTTACAGGAATAGTTTGACAGTCTTTTTAACTCCTTGATTTCTAGACTAATCAATGTTCATTGCCTACAGATCAACTATTTTACTATTACCAATATGTTATCTTCACATGAAATTTCCACCTGAAGTAGAATGGAACGTTTTGTTGCATTTCTTCCGAATTGCTGATAGTTAAATATTATACTTGGTTAGCAGCGAAAGTGAATGATAAGCCAAGGGGTTCGGTAGGCGATTCTTTGCGACAATACAATGCGAATAAGAATAAAAATATTGCATTATCTCTGTTTCGAAACGATCAACGATTAAAGTACATAAATAGCGAGTCAGAGGTTTTGAATCGTTAGTGATTTGAAACGGAGACATTGTAATTTCGTTTATTCTTGATTGTCGCTTGAAAAATTCTGAAATAAAATCCCCTTGTTACGATAACTTCATCTTCGTTTGGTAAATTAAAGACATTGTTAAACTAGTGCGACAAGAACTTGACAATTTGGATACCGAATGGAAGTACCAGGTCCAGACGCAGATTCGCGTGACTGGCATTGAAAGTGCTAAAAATTCATTAGTTTTCGCAGCTTCTGTAGTTGAGGTGTTTCCAGTATTTGCATCGTTACGTATGTACCTTTTGCCTTCCGCTACTCTTCCGATTTTGTAATGCTCAGCCTCCGCCGGTAATCGCACGGTGCTCTGGAGCTCGTGCTCCTTTCGTCGTACTTCCTGCTCCTCCACCTCGATCTGCTTGCGCCTCTGCACGATTTTGATCTGGATCTCTTCGTTTCGTATCCGTTGCCTTATTTTCGCTGCTTGAAGCTCGTACGCGAGCGCAGCCTCAGCTTTCTACGGAAGAACCGATGGGAATATGAAGTAACGATTGCACAGAATGAAAATTACGATCTTTAAACAGACGATTAAAAGATTTCGAAAAAGTATTTAAGGAAGGTATAGGTAGCCCTCCTACAGCACGGTTTCGCTGTAACACGAAAAGGTGTTGAATATTTATTTGCAAATATAAACGCGACACAGTTTGTTTTTGTTTGTTTAGGTTTTTACTGTGTTATAGGAGGGTTACCTGTATCTACATTAAAAATATATAAAATATATAAATATACATATATGGATGAAATTTCACACCTTACGAATTTCATTTTACTATTCTTCTTCGACGACGGTTTTCAAGGGTTAAGGAAGGTTAAGGGGAATTTCGTTTGAACGTACCGCTGTGTTCACTTCTTGGTCGAAATTCGCTTTCTGCAGCTGGAAAAGTCTGGCGTTGTCTTCGATTTTCGTGTCGGTGTTGTATTTCGTGTCCATCGCCAGTTTCTCGCATTCCGCTTCCTGAAATCGGGAAACGGGGATTTACTTCGCGACTAAGGGTGACACGGGACGTTTAAAAAATTCACGAGGATCGTAAGAATGTCATAGAAAAAGTTTATGAAGAATAAATATTAGAAATTGTGCCAATGATCCACAGCAGAACATAAAGGTGACATTGTATGATATTTAAGCGATTCGAATAATATTAATCAAATACTACCACTACTAATAATAATAATACTACTACTAATACTACTACTAATACTACTACTAATACTACTACTACTACTACTACTACTACTACTACTACTACTACTACTGCTACTACTACTGCTACTACCACCACTACTACTACTGCTACTACCACCACCACCACCACTACTACTACTACTAATAATAATAATAATAATACTAATAATACTAATACTAATAATACTAATAATACTAATAATACTAATACTAATAATACTAATAATACTAATAATACTAATAATACTAATAATACTAATAATACTAATAATACTAATAATACTAATAATACTAATAATACTAATAATACTAATAATACTAATAATACTAATAATACTAATAATACTAATAATACTAACAATACTAATAATACTAATAATACTAATAATACTAATAATTCTAATACTACTACTACTACTATTAATAATAATAATAATAATATAAGGATTGCGCAGGGTATAACAGTATGTTCCGCTTGGATCGAATGGGAATTTCCATTGTCCAAGATAAAGGGAGATTAATGGTTGAACGCAGTCCCGCAGCATTGCCGGACATTAGTGATTGAACTTACTCGGATACCGGCGTCGCGGTTCGCCTCGGCGACGCCAACGTCGGCGTCGCGTTTAACTGCCGCCGTCTGAGCTTTGCCAAGAGACGCCAAGTATTGAACGTCGTCATAGACGTCCTTTATCGTGAAAGACAGGATTTCGATACCCATGCGGCCGACGTCCGGAGCCGCGACTTCCCTCACCAGAGTCGCGAACTGATCTCGATCCTTGTACACCTCCTCCACCGAAAGGGTACCTGCGAAACGCAAATAGTACAGTCCTACGAACTTCACGGAACCTGACGGTAAGCTCGACTCTGGGCAAACTGGAGTTTCGACCGTTTCACGCGCCGAGCGAGGCATTGAGCTCCGGTTAAACGATAAATGCCATTTTAATGAAGTTTCATTAACACTAGAACTACCCTCCAGATTTCTTCTTTCCGCGATTATTAAACAAATATCTGATGCTTCTCAGGGAGTTATTAAAGAAATTAATTTGACAATGGTCTCAATGGATGCACTCTTGAAGTTTTTGTAGAGGTTTCAAGAAGTCAATTTCAGTGCTCGGTAGTTCTAGTGTTAATATAAGCAACCATATTTCCTTTCCAACGGTATCTTTATTGGACAGCACTAGAATTAAACGAATCGAAAGAGTATTCGTAGAAAAGTGGTAAAGTTGATATTTTCCCGGAAGAAGAGGAAGGTTAGCTTTTACGTTGAACGTACCGTATCGTTATCTGATAATGACGTACTTTTTCGGAAGTCTGTATCATCGACTTAAATAATATGCAACAGGAAAACAGAAGAAAATAAATTGCCCACTGTTGACATTTACAGCGCGTTACATTTCAGAAAACTCTAACAATGTGTGATCCATAATTGAAGAAGAAACAGGAAGTGCCATTGAATTTACCTAATATCGCACGAAGATGGCCCTCCAGAGTAGAAAGGATCGTCGACTTGATGTCGTGGACGCTTTTTCCGAGAAACTGTTCGCTGGCAGTGTGCAGCAGCTCGTCCGCCTTCATGATCTTGCATTGCGCTACCCCCGTGACGGTCAATGGTACACCCTGGGCGGTCTCGACGTTCTCGCAGACGGGATTCAGTGTCATCACTTCGAGAGACAGCCGTTGGACGTCGGTGACGCACCACCACGCGAAGGCGTAGCCACCGACGATGGTCCTCTTCTTCATCGATCCGCAACATCCTCCTGCGAACGCGATTCACATCGTTCCGATTAGAATTACCATCGAATTACGTTGATTCGGTGTGTTTCGAGGTCGCTGATGAAATTCCTGGCGACGTATCGATACACGAAACGTTGCAAAACAGTTCTGTCCTTCGATCGAGTTAGCTAACGAGGTTAACCCCTGTACAATGACGAGGAAGGCTCGCGATGATTTCTAAACTAATTTAACAAGAATCAATGTTGTTCGTTACCCACGGATCAAGGCGAACGACTATTTTGCTATTATCAATGTATTATCTTCGAATGAATTTTGTTGTATTTCTTACAAATTGTCGATAGTCAAATATTACACGAGCTTAGTAACGAAAGTAAATAGTACGCCAAGGGGTTAAGCTCGGAAAACAGAAATTGAGAAAATTCTTGTCTGTAAAAAGGGCTCGTTAACTTAGAAAAACGAAGAGACGAGTGAATCATTGAATAACTGACGATATTGTTTATTCCATGAAGATTGAGGAAATCGACCTAACTGTATTGGCTTCTGAGCGACGCAATTGACAATCCTACAGCGCATAGAAAAACGTTAGAGTTCCTAGAAGTCCGTAAAGTTAAAAATCAAGTATCATGAATAATGCATTGGTTGTAGATTGTACTGTTAAAAAACACTGCGAACGCGTGGGCACTGTTAATTACGTATTTCTACAACCTTTCGGATCTAGAGGTGGAGGCTGTGCTTTGAAAATTGAAAGTTAACAGCATGTTACAACATATTCGAGTTCACAACTGGATATTACTGACTTTGCACATTTCGTTAACGTTAGATTTACAAAACTCGTGAATTTGACAGATAGTGAACTTTTTAAAAATTATTCACCAACAGTTTCAGTTGATTTTGATTCGAGATCTATATCGACTCTATCTTTGAAGCTGCAATTTTCACGATTTGTATAAATAAACCGTACTTTTTTAGAACCAAAATCTAATCAAGGATAATTGCTCCTGTTTCTACGTATATACAATATACAATTCCATTCGTTTCTAATCGCAAAGGATCCTAGCAAACTATCGAACAATTCCTTTTATCTTTGCAATAAAGCCTTTTCTCAATCCTCGTCGCTTTTTCGTTGAACAAAATTACTTGTACACGCAAAATAAACAATTAGTAATTAGTACTTATTCTAAGGATACATTTTCTGTGAGATACGTGGCACAGAATACCGACACGAATACGAAAATATATATAAAAGTCAGCAAAAACTTGAACGCAACTGAATATTTCGTTTAAAAGCATCAATGCACTTTACGAGCAAGATATAACCGAAATTTCCGTGGCACGGAATGCGTCGATAAAAAGGTTTCCAAATGAACGTTTCAAATTTGTGGAAACCAAAGCTGTTTCTTCCTCCGAATCGTTGTAGGTTACTTATTTCAACGAGCAACGACTGCGGCGTAATGGCGTCTAGCTGAAACGGCGTCAGCGTAATTTTCGTTAAAACACCGACGACCATTTGGATTCGATTTGGGATTCAACGGTCGTTGATGACGACACAGAGGAGCGACGGTGTTGCAACGGTAAGTAGGTCGTACTCCGTATAACGGCCAACGCGGCTCTTTACCGTAAGTCCGTTCCGTGACGTCAGGAAATGGCTCCTCGAATACTGGTTGTCGCTCGTCGCGGACGTGACGCGGATCACGCAACGCGGTAACGTCGCTTTTGAAACGATCCCGACTCGTCGTCGGCTGTACATCCGCCGACGGTTTTCTTTTTCTTTGACCCTACGACTGCCGAGCACCTGAACCGTCTTTTTAACACGTTGAATGTTGAGAACGTTTGTTGAAAATGTTTTCCAAGTACTCGAAATGGACGAAATATAATATTGAATCATTTCATTGAATTGCGTTGTTATTATTGCATTCGTGTTGCTGAATATCCCACGTTAACTAGCATTATTTATAATAGAGAAATGTTTTCGAATAATCATGGTTTAACCCTTTGCACTCGAAAGTTTTTCACTAGAAATAACCACCGTATATCGACTCTATGCGTATATCTACCCCATAACGAAACAAAATCATAACCACCGTATACCAACTCTATACCTATCCCCATAACGAAACGAAAACCTAACCACCGTACATCGGACTCTATATCTATCCCCATAACGAAACAAAATCATAACCACCGTGCATCGATTCTATATCTATTCCCATAACATAACGAAAACCATAACCACCATACGTCAACTCTATACCTCAACTTTCGTCCGCTACTTTTGGTCCCAATCGCCGATACTTTTCAAATTCTCGCTCGCCGTCGAGAAAACGGCCGCGCCGCGCGACAGGCCCCGTGGAAGAACGGTCCCCGGAAGGAGGCGGAGATAATCGCTGGAAGAATGGGTACAGAGCTCGCAGCGCGGGGGAAGGGAAAGTCCGGGGACCGTTATGCGGCGTGCTCGGCTTCTCGAGGCCCGCAACCTGTTGGCGTCTGGTGTCTCCGATCTCGGTGGATCCAGCGTGCGGGCACCGGTGCCGGGAGCAAGGTCATGGTCAGTCTCGCGGAGTCCTCCGCGCGGCCATTAGCGTCGGCCACCAGGAACCCGTGGTTCCGTCGGACGGAAAAAAACGGGACGGAGGTGTCCGGTGGCCTCGATCGCGGCTACCAATTTTCTGGGACATCGCTCGGAGAATGCTACTCGCCGGGAACAGCTGCCAGTTCGATGCCTCGCTTCGCTGCCAGTTTGTTTACCCGCCTCAACTTTCGTTGACGAATGGGACCACCGCTAGTTCGGCGCGCCTCATCCTCCGCTGGTCGCGTCAGGCCTTAATTTAGGATCGGTGAATCCTCTAGCGTTTCATCCTCGAACTTAAGACAGTTGTGTCAATTCTACGGAGACAAAGTTCGATGGACCTTGGTGAACTGGAATCGAATCTACGCGTGTGCCGGCATTCCTGAAGAGGTCAACGCTGGATTTGCGGAGGTTTATTCTACATACTCCATTGCTCCCAGAAAACGTGTTCCTCTATATAAATCGCGAGATTCGTAATTCGAATGAGAATTGCTTTCCCGTTGGGTTCGGAGGTCGAGGGAGTTCGGGAGTAACTAGCACGGGGAGGAAATCTCTGTAAGCAGGAGGTTCGAGAGGGTTCGGAAGTCCTCGAGACTGTCGAGATCCGACTGGCCGACGGTGGACCGATGATCCGGGATTTTCGGAAAACTCCGGAATGGATGCGCACGAGTTCCGGCTAGTGAAAGGTATCCAGTGTCGTTTCGTTCCGAGTGCGTCGACCGGGAGACCGGGGATCGTTTTCCAGGACCGGTGAATACGGGGAACGGAACAGCTGAACGCGATGATCGGCCGGAGAAGATTCTAGACCGCGTGCTGCACGCTGTCTCCCGGGAAGTAGGTGAGCGAGTACTGCTTTCCTTTTCAAATACTGTTGCCATTACTCATTTCGAGTACGCACGTCGGTTCGCGCGAGTATCTTTTGTTCTTCGCGGTCGAATTTGCTGTTCGAAACGGACGAGGATCGTGGTTTTTATTCGGCTGCGGCTCGTTTTGCTCGTATCGAAGGACGCTCGACGATACGGAAACGAATGAAGACAAGTTGTACGGAGATGGAGCGAGTTTGATGGACTTTGGTGAACTGAAATCAAATCTACACGTATGTGTCAGTATCTTTGTAGACGTTAGTGATAGATTTACGGAGGATTCTATAGTTTGTTCTGTTGTTCAGAAAACCACGTGTTCGTCTATATAAACCGCGAGAATCGCGTAATTCGAGTGAAAATTAACTGAGACTGAATAGTACTGAATAAACAAATGAAATAAAAATAAAGTAAAACAACTAAATAACGTTTAAAACATTCTACATCTATCATCGGCTCCGCGAATCTAGTGTTGAATGACGAAATCGAGACGCGTCTCTGTTTCCGCTACCTTAAAGTGTTCAATTCGTTCTCAAATCAATGAATTTTCGATCTAAAGACCATTCGCTACATCTATTGTTACCTAACCGTTTGAGTCCCACCCAAAAAAAATACCAAGCGGTCGTTCTTTCGTTCGAACTCAAAAATAAACTACGCTCTTCTATTTCGATAAAAACAAATTTGAAATAGCGCGATCGTTAGATTCGTTGAGTTCTAGCCGGGCAATGACGCCAATAAGAATGAGTCATTAGAAGGAGAAGAAATAAATAAGCTTCATCACGATTCTACGGACCGATACTGGAACGAACCGCCATCGCGCCGCTCGGGACTCGAACGGTTAACGCGTTGACTGCCACGAAAGTATCGTTTATTCTTTCGTAGCAAAGATAAAAATAAACGATTACTTCTTTTCTCGTATCGCGATCATTGTTATCTCTCTATTTGCACTATCGAACATTGTCATTCGACGTCGGTTGTCCAAGTAATTTGAAAGCTCCGCGGCAGTGAACGTGTTAACGACTTACGTGGTCCTCGACACTCGACGCGATTTATCTCTGAAAAAGAAACTCCTTCGCGGAGCACGCGGTCCGCGCGTGTTTCCTCGTTTTCTGCGTAATTCCGCGCACGATCCTCGGCCAGGGGGATGATCGCGCTTTCGTGGTGCGCGTACGTGAGCATTGTCGCGGGCAGACTGCCCGGGTTCATAGAAAATTACTTCACAGCTGAAAGTTTCACGTGTCATTGATATTCCTCTCGTACGCGCGATCGCTCGTCGAACCACGTGGAGCCCGTCTTTGACTTTTCTTCGGCCGATTTCTATCCGATCGCGGATAGGCTTCGATTCGACAGTAGCGAAGGACACCTCGACCAGCGCGGTCCTCTTCGCGAGGGCTTCTCATGCCAACCACGAGATCGTTCCGCTCGCGATCCAGGATTCTGCACGGGAATTTCAACGCTGATAGAGGTTCGAGATTGCATCAGAATATTTTCTTCCTCCTAGTTGGCGAAGGAAGATATTTCTTTTTATAGTAGGTTTGTCGAGGTCATTTTCATTTATTTCGAACTTTTTCGAGGGAGTTACGGAAATCGTTTAGATAATTTTTCTAACGGTTGGACTGAGCTTCATCTGGACATATAGCTTCGTTTAACATATTGTGTATAATTGTTGTTTCTTAAAATTGCGTGATTTCATTCGTGACTCCAGTTGACCTATTTCGAACTTTTTCAACGGAGTTATGGAAATCGTTTAGATCCTTTTTCTGACGGTTGTACTGAGTTTCATCTGTACATGTCATAGTTTCGTTCAAAATATTGTGTATAATTATCTAGTTTTTTCAGTTGTTTTTTAAAAGAAATGTGTGATCTTGTTCTTGGGTGAAATTGACCTGTATATTTTACAAAATCCTCACGCGGTTTCTGTCTGTTAGACGTGTTCTACATGTGATTAGTGTTGTACAATATTCGAGAGAAATTAATTTATTGGAGAATGTTGTCGGAAATAGTTACTAATGACAAAGTCAGTAAGTTTACGAATACTTCGTTCATTTTCAAAAGGAAAATTAGCCTTGGATTCTCCTATAACCAACTGTACATCTGAAACTCTAATGATAATGACTTATAAAATACGTTATATGTTAAAGCAAAACTTTTACAGCAGAGTTCCAGTGACAAGCACAAAGTTAATTTAATACAGAAAGAAATACTTTTAAGGATGAAAATTCAACGAACTTCTATTCATAAAAGTGAACAGTTTTAATCGAGTGTCGCAAGCTTCGGTGGTTCCCTTAATTACTGATTGCGTTCGGTAACTGATCATTTCCTCGTTTGCCGACATGACGTTTCACTGTTCGTCGCATCGTTCCACGAGCCGGTTGATTCGCAGGTTGACCGATTGTACTGTTACAGGGGAACAACAGGGGAAATTGTAGAGGTCGAGAATGGGTATCGAGAGCGTTTTAGCGGGAGGCTTGACCTCGGCGACGACCGGGCTCTCGTGGTTCTTTCCAGTGTTGGCGGCAGCGCTCGTGTACTTCCAGTACGAAGTGATGGACAGCGAAGCGCCGCCAATTAATATACCGTCCGAAGTTCTGCTTCCATCCTACGACTTCATCGTGATAGGATCCGGCTCTGCAGGTACGTCTTGAGCGATATTAATCGTTTGCGAAGGTTCTTTGAAATGTACGAAACCTTCAACGGATGAAGCTAAATTATGTATTAATTGTTTAATTAATAGCAATAACAGGAACTACGTGATAATCTCTTGCTGTCCGAGTAATTAATTCATTTGCCTGCGATTTAGTCTTTTAAATATGAATATTTCATCTCGCCTTTCGGAAAGGGTTAACCCTTTGCACTCGAAAGTTTCTCAATGGAAATATTCAGCATTTTCTGATGGGATATAGATTATATTAATTTTTTAATATTGATAATATTAATTGCTATTAATTTTTTGATATTGATAATATTAATAATATTCTATTCATAAAAATGATTAATATTAATAATCAACGCACAAGAAACTTCATCGTCACAGTGTGCATTTGAACACGTACTTATTTACGAAATCGTAAAGGCGCTTGTGTAAGCAATAATTAAACAAACTCATTTATTCATGCGTGTATCGCAATGATCGCAATACTTTTATAGAAATTAGAAACCAGTTACTCGAACCACTCGGAATTTCTAGTGTTAAGGTCACTGCATTGCGTTCGAGATTGTACGGTTTTGCTGTTTGTCGCGCTACCTTCGTCTATTCCGGTTTGAATTTTTACGACACTCGCTTTACGCGAATGTCCGTGTCTTATCAGGAAACACGATACTTCCGTTGCCTACAAAATTCCGCTTGACGACTTTTATTCGTTTTATTCGCGAATCTGTTTGAATTTTCTATTGAACGCATTTCATTCGATTCGATGTATTTCATTAACCCTTTGCAATCGAGAGGTGACTCTCAGTCACCACGAGATTCGATGCAAAAATATAAAGTTGAATATTTAATTTTTCAAATTAAAGTTTGCATTGCTGCATGAAATATTGAAATAAAACACCTCTGTTGCTTAATTTATCTATGAATTATCGTTAAATTAGTTCCAAACAATCACCTATATCTCGTCAGAAAATGTTGAATATTTCCATCGAGAAACTTTCGAGTGCAAAGGGTTACAATATAGTATTCTCAGTGAAATATATAGTTCCAATAATACACATTTATTCTATACTATTACGCATTGTTCATATTAAATTTAACGCATCATCCACCAACGTAGACAAACAGACACTAACCGTGAAAAAATAAAATCCGTTACACAGGATTCAACGATATTCAGCCAATCGCAAATTGCACCCTTTTGTCGATTGCACTTTCACTTTGACATTCACAGTATTTTCGTCTGGTACCATTATCGCCAGTCGAATGTCGAATCTCTGACGGTTATCTCCCTTGTTACAAGCACACGCGTTTCCGATTGGTAGCAGCGCTTATAGTTCCTCGGCGACCATTAATTAAATAGGAATGCGGCTCAGCCGATTTGCTTCTGGTGCAAGGATATTTTTCAAATGCGCGCGAACTTTCGCTGCAGGAGCTGTTGTCGCGAGCCGGCTCTCCGAGATAGAAAACTGGAACGTTCTTCTTTTGGAAGCTGGGGGCGATGAAACGGAAATCTCGGATGTCCCTCTACTCGCCGGCTATCTGCAACTCAGCCAACTCGACTGGCAATACAAAACAGAGCCCGAAGCAGGCGCCTGTCTAGGTAACCAACTTCATTGCCATTTTAACCCTTTGCACTCGACAGTTTTTCGCTGGAAACATTCCACACTCGTGAGACGCAGACGATGTTCTTCGAAATGAATTAATGCGGAGACATACATGAATTAAGAAGGAGAATTGCCTTATTCCAATGTCCTATATATCGATGTATAATGCAAAGTTTAATATTATATGTAAGAATTTATAATTTTGCAAATTATAAACGCAACACTCCTCGAGTGCAAAGAACAGCGATACTGTTTCAACTGCCATTTATATTATACGAAAAATATTTGAAACTGGTGGTACAATTAATGATTTGAAGATAATTTGAAATATCTAAGGTGGATCTTAATGACACTGCTTCATTAGCATATATATATATAACATTAGTTATAGCATGGCATCATACTGATACTGCTATAACTTATTACGATTTGCCTTTGAATAGTTCATCAACAGAGTTCAGTCTAGCGAAAAAGTATCCGTCCACAGCGATCGTCAGCGCTGGCGCGCGCCACATAGGCCGCGAGTGTTCAGCCTTCTAAGGGTTAAGACAACTCTCAACTAAACTCTCGTCTTTTCCCCAGCGATGGAGCAGGGTCGCTGCAACTGGCCGCGCGGCAAGGTGATCGGCGGCAGCAGCGTCCTGAACTACATGCTGTACCTCCGCGGGAACAAGAAGGACTACGACACCTGGGAGCAGCAGGGCAACCCAGGCTGGGGGTCGAGGGACGTGCTCTACTACTTCAAGAAGTCCGAGGACAACCAGAACCCGTACTTGACGCGTACGCCGTATCACGGCACCGGAGGCTACCTGACCGTCCAGGAAGCCCCGTGGCACACTCCTCTGGCCGCAGCTTTCGTGCAAGCCGGCCAGGAGATGGGCTACGAGAACAGGGACATAAACGGCGAGAAGCACACGGGCTTCATGATCGCCCAGGGAACGATCAGGCGAGGCAGCCGCTGCTCGACGGCGAAAGCCTTCCTCAGGCCAGCCAGGCTGCGCAAGAACCTGCACGTGGCGATGCACGCGCACGCGACGAAGATCCTGATAGACCCCAAGTCGAAGAGGACGTACGGCGTGGAGTTCGTCAGGGACGAGAAGGTGTTCCGCATCAGAGCTAGGAAGGAGGTGGTCGTGTCCGGCGGGTCCGTCAACTCCCCGCAGTTGCTGATGCTGTCCGGCATCGGGCCCAGAGAGGAGCTGCAGCGACACGGCATCCCGGTGATCCAGGACCTCCGGGTGGGCTACAACCTGCAGGACCACGTCGGTCTAGGCGGCTTGACCTTCATGGTGAACAAGGAAGTCTCCATGGTGGAGAAGAGACTGCACAATGTTCAGTCGGTGATACAGTACGCTGTCTTCGGCGACGGTCCGCTGACGGTGCTAGGAGGCGTCGAAGGCTTGGCCTTCGTCAATACCAAGTACGTGAACGCGTCCGACGACTTCCCCGACATCGAGCTGCACTTTATATCCGGCTCGACGAATTCCGACGGCGGCAGGCAGATCAGGAAGGTCCACGGGCTGACCAAGAGGTTCTATGATGCTGTCTTCGGGTCCATCAGCGACAAGGACGTCTGGAGCGTGATACCCATGCTGCTCAGGCCGAAGAGCAAGGGACTCATCAAGCTGCGCAGCAAGAATCCCTTCGACCATCCTCTGATTTACCCGAATTACTTCAAGGAAACCGAGGATATCGCCACTTTGGTCGAAGGCGTGAAGATAGGCGTCGCTCTGAGCAGGACCGCCGCGTTCAGGAGGTTCGGCAGCGAGCTGAACTCGAAGCAGTTCCCCGGCTGCAAGCACATCCCGATGTACAGCGACCCCTATTGGGAGTGCATGATCAGGCATTACTCGGCCACGATTTATCATCCGGTGGGCACGTGCAAGATGGGTCCCTACTGGGACCCCGAGGCCGTGGTGGATCCTCAGCTGAGGGTGTACGGGGTCAGCGGACTCCGAGTGATCGACGCGTCGATTATGCCGAATCTCGTCAGCGGGAACACCAACGCGCCGGTCATTATGATCGGGGAGAAAGGCTCCGATATGATCAAGGAGTTCTGGATGAAGAGGCGGGGCCGAGGCTGAGTGATCGTTGCGGACTTTCGATGGTTAGATTCGAGGGGGATCGGAGTTCTCGGGAAAATCGAGACGATGATCCTCGGGGAGATTGTGTCGCGTGATTGAATGTTCTGTAAATATCGAGTAACGCTGGGAAAGTTAATTGTTAGTTAACCCTTTGCGGTCCGAGGTGCTGTTGGTTTCTCACTTTGAGGTTCACGTCGACGTTAGTCCATTCGATAATGGCTTGATATGACGCATTTATTTATTCAACAATATTTGGGAGTCATTGAAATTACCTTTAAACCTTTGCGGAGGAAGACTCTTTAAGGTAGACAAAGCTTGGAACATTGAAGCTAAATTATACATCGAATGCTTAAACAACAGTAAAAAGGGATCTATACACTGATCACTTGCTATTCAAGTAATTAAGTCATTCGGTTGCAACTTAGTATTCCAAATGTGAACGTTTCATCTGATCGAAATATCGACATTCGTCCGCAATGGGTTAAATGGTACAATTTTGACACTACAAATATAGAAAAAATTGTTAAAACAGGTAGAGGTTGTAATATAATAGAATGTCGAGTCTGACATTGGACTGCTAAGGGTTAAGGATCGTGGGGGATGGGTGAGTTCGAGGATTTAGCGATGATGGAGTGTCGATGGCGGTTGAAGATGGACAATGTTAAGTTAATGGAGCGCGATGGGAATGATATGGTTGAGGGGTTGGCTAACTTCGGCTCAAAAGTTTGGGATCACTTTTGATTGTAGTTTTTGGAAAGGAGCATGGAGAATGATCTTCGAAATTCGAACAAAACAATACAGAGCAACACAACTCCGAAACTGCTAAAATCAACAAGCAATTTCTCTCTAAGATTTGTTCGTTGCTATGTTATGTTGCTTTTTAATTACTTTGTCTTGTTGATTTCTTATTGGAGAAGAAGGGGGATGACTGGTTTAACCGTTGCATTTCCGTTGTTAATATTGAAGTTTCTTTCTTGTGGAAAAAGTGAACTTGAACTTTTGAGTTGTACTGTACATTTGAAGCCAGAGAAAGTAGGGTAGAATTAAACGACTTTCTTCGTGTGAAAAAATTGTGTTTCTGATGTCTGTATGATTCTATATTTTTTATACGAAATATTTTATAATTTAATGAATCCCATTTGTTAAGATTTTATTTTCTATACTCAATGTGTATATAGAAAATTGTAAATTATGCTGAAGGAGGAAAGACATAAAATAAAATCAATAAATACACTGATATTTTTCTTTTAATCTTGATTGCGAATGCTGTATATCTTTTGTATGAAATAACGCGAGTAAATCTGTGGAACGCATCCAAAAAATAGTGTTTTCTATTTCTTTCATTTGTTTTCCTTCGTATATAAAATATAAATATATTTTATATAAATTTTGTATAAATTCTACATAATTTAATTTGATATATTCACAAGTGTTACTGTAAATTGTAGATTATACACATTTATTACAACAAATATTCCGCAATGTCAATGATGACTGCGAAAGATGCATTCGGGCACATAAACATATTAAAACAGCTGACACAGAAATAAGTAATGTAACATCGACACCTTTCTTCGGTCAGTTTTCCTCGACGCGTCAGTGTGAAAAAAAAACGATACGCATGAGTGACGTGTTCTTCGAGGTGTCATCGATATACTTCAGGTAAATGTTACAATAAAAATTTAATCTTCGTAAAATCGTATAATCAAAGCCATACCATCATACCTTTTACATTCTTCAATGCCAATTAACACTAGAACTACCGTACCATTGAAAATAATTGGTTTCAGTTTTCTCGTTTCCAATTATTGACACCTTAAAACCACTGAATATTCGAAACGAATCGAAAATAAACAGTTTCAATTGAATTCTATAAGCAATATCTAAGAAACCCGAGAATAATCTATTGTTACCATTTTTATAGGGAGTACATATCAATCGTATTAACCCTTTGCACTCGAGAGGCGACCCCAATCGCCAGATGATTTGGTACAGAAAAATGATAAACCTTAGTATTTACCATTAGCCTTTGTATACTGAAAGAAAATAGCTTTGTTATCTAATTTACGTATGATTTCTGGTTAAATTCATTTTAAAGAATCTTGTCTACATCTAATTAGAAAGTATAGAATATTTCAAGTGAAAACTGTCGAGTGCAAAGTGTAACTATTTCATTGTAATGAACAAAATTTCAATATATTCGATTGAAAAGTTCCGATCGTCAACAGTGATGCGGTGATCATCGGACAAAAATGGCGACCGTTGGCAGAATCACCGCGTTCCGAATAGCGTCCACTTACGGACCCGAATTAGGTTTCCTGGTTCTGCTAAACTTGCTGATCGGAAGATACAGGCCTGACGTCGTTGATCGTGAATCCAGAATGAAACCAGTATCGTTGGTTAATTTGCGGAATAATTACGATTTCGTGATAATCGGGGGTGGGTCGGCTGGCTCCGTGCTCGCGAATCGGCTATCGGAAAATGGCAACTGGTCGGTGCTCCTGGTGGAAGCTGGCCCGAATGAACCGGACATAACTGACGTACCGTTGACCTTTCCGGTCTTTCAGCTGACCCCGCTCGACTGGCAATTCAAAACTGAACCGTCCGACGATTATTGCCGAGCGATGAAGGGGCACCAGTGTAATTGGCCACGCGGCAAGGTACGAGAAAATCTGAATTTCTTTTTGGAAACGGTTTTTCATTTGTATCGTTGCGATAGATTAGTCTTGATTAGTAGCGTTATTAAAATTGATCACTTGTAGTATTGTTACAAGTTATCACTAGTTGCAGTATTATTACAAGTTATCACTAGTTGCAGTATTATTACAAGTTATCACTAGTTGCAGTATTATTACAAGTTATTACCAGTTGCAGTATTATTGCAAGTTATTACTAGTTGTAGTATTTTTAAAGTACAGTATTAATTCCCTCGCCAAAACGAGTAATATTACACTTAACATTCCCAACAATTCCTTCCAAAATTGATTTCTTCAAATCCTTGGAACAATCGGATTTTCTCGAAACTTCCATCGAAATGTTGAAGGTGCTAGGAGGAAGCAGCGTGCTGAACGCGATGCTGTACGTCCGCGGGAATAAGAAAGACTACGACAACTGGGCAACCTTAGGTAATCCAGGATGGGATTACCGGAGTGTCCTACCGTATTTCAAAAAGTCACTCGACATGAGAATCAAGAAGTACAAGAATTCTCCGTACCATCATACCGGCGGATATCTCACCGTAGAGTATTTTAAGTATCGCACGCCCATAATTAATCATTTGGTGAGAGCAGGCACCGATATGGGGTACGACATAGTGGACGTCAACGGGCCAACTCAAACTGGATTCACTTATTCCCATGGTACATTGAGAAACGGATTACGATGCAGCGCCGCCAAAGCTTTCCTTCGAACAGCTTCCAAGAGAAAGAACCTGCACATCAGCTTGCTTTCCACCGCGGAGAAGATTCTGATACGCGAAGGCAAGTGCACGTTGCTCTTTTCGTTTATTTAGTACTTTTTTCAGAAGAAACGTCGAACTTATAAGTTCCGTTAGACGACTCTTACGTTTCGAGTTAATTTCACCTGAAAATTTCCAATTGTTTCACGCAATTTCAAATGATTACTTTTAAAAGCCTTATTTCTTGCGTTTCTTTGAAAAATGGTCGACTACTGAAGTTGATTACTGGTGTCACTATTTAATTGGTTAACACTAGATTTGACACTACAGTTTGTTCTATTGTTAGAAAATTGTTATCCATTATGATCCTAGAAATTAGGTTTAAGGGTAGACTATTAGGATACACATTTGACAACTGCGTTAATAAAAATCGACCCAAACATTTACCTAATAATACTTATAAAATTCAATGACTCTGACTCGTTCCGTAAATCTAGCGTCAACGGTAAAAAGTACGTTACAAATGGATCGTTTGAGTAAGAATAAAAAATTCTGGTTCACAGATGAGCACTCGAAGACCGCGTACGGTGTTCAGTTTCGCGTAGGAACGGCACGTCACAAGGTCAAAGTGAATCGCGAGGTGATTTTAGCAGCCGGAGCGATACAATCCCCGCAATTGTTGATGCTGTCTGGTATTGGTCCGAGGGACCATTTGGAAGAAATGGGGATACCATTGGTGCACGATGCACCCGGCGTGGGCGGGAATCTCCAGGATCACGTAGCGATCGGTGGTTTGCTCTACTTAATAGACACACCGAAGGATTACACAGGCGACAGGCCGTTCTCGTTCAATTTGCCGGACTCCGTCACTCCTGACGTGATCAAGGAATTCGCCGTGAATCGCACCGGGCCCATGTACTCGTTGCCGGTCTGCGAAGGAATGGCCTTCGTCAATACCAAGTGAGCGTTTGCGTGGCTACTTTATCGTACTCGCCGATAGCCGATGAAAATTTGTAATAGAAACATCTTTAACATTGAAACTATCGATAGGAATTTATGTGTTGTAGTTCGAGTAAAAAGTTACATGGAAATTAAGAGATTAGAATTTTAGTTTAGACTTTGGTCGTTAATGAATCTTTTGCCCGTTACTGGTTTAGTAATAGAACAAGTTTAGTATTGCTCTTTGTTTATTAAAGTTTCATGTTTTAACCATAATTTAACTGTTGGAAATGCAATAAGAAATACTCATAAAATTTCAGTAAAAGGTTCAAATGTCACTGAAAGTCACATCGTGCTCCGATTAGGGTTAATGAGAAATATTTTCTGATATTTATTAAGACCTCTAGCGCAGGTGAATTGTTTAAATTATCGATTATTGTGAAGTTTCTAAAGTGTTTCGGGTAGATAGGAGAACAATGAAGTTAGCAATTAACGCGTAAACTTTGAATCTTGAGTTTTACACGTTGCTTATCCTTTCGCAGCGAACGTAAATAGGAAGAATGATTGATCATTCGACGCGAGAATTTTTAACAGTATCATCTAATTATTTATTCAGCGAACGTGTTAAAAAACACGCGACCTTGCGATTTCCAACGTATTTTCGTATCGTTGAGCAATCAGGTCCTTTCTCGCGTTTTGATCGATGCTCGAACTTATTATTAACTCGAGCAATAAATCTGATTTCAGGTACGCGAATCAGACTGCGGATTATCCTGATATACAGCTGTTCCTGACAACGATCACCGACAGCACGGACGGCGGTCTTTTTATGAAAAGGGACTGCAACGTGAAAGACGATTTCTACGGGCATATGTACGAGAATCTGTTGTACCAGCCTGCGTATGGCGCCATTCCGCTTTTGCTCAGACCTCGGAGCAGAGGGTACATTAAACTGCGCTCGAAGGACCCGCACGTGCATCCGATCATTGTGCCAAATTACTTTACAGATCCACACGACCTCAACGTTCTGGTAAAAGACATTCGTTAACCCTTTGCACTCGAGAGCTGACTCTCGCACCACCAGATTTCGTACAGTAAAACGATGCAATTTCATATCTCTGTTAAGTAATAGTAATAGATGCTTCTATTAAGTCTATATAAGTAATCTTATACTTTGTATGATATTAATCAATCTGAGAAATATTCTTTTTTTCAATTTACAACTGGCTCTGCTGAACCAACCAACAAATTCGATGATTCGGTGATTCGATGATTCGATGATTCGATGATTCGATGATTCGATGATTCGATGATTCGATGATTCGGTGATTCGATGATTCGATGATTCGATAATTCGATAATCTGATAATCTGATAATCTGATAATTTGATAATTTGTACATTGAATACTTCTATTACATATTATCGATAAATTTCTAATCAACACAGGCGGAAGGAGCGAAGTTCATTCACAAACTGAGCGAGACGCCAACAATGAAGAGCCTGAACGCTCGACCGAATCCGAACCATATTCCGGAATGTTCCTCGTTCGAGTTCCCGTCGCACGATTATTGGAAATGTTTCGCAAAATTCTACACGATGACGATTTACCATCAGTGCGGCACCTGCAAAATGGGTCCAGCGAGCGACCCAATGGCTGTCGTGGACGAGAGACTAAGGGCGAGAGGAGTTCAGGGATTACGAGTCGTCGATGCGTCGATTATGCCGGAAATCATTTCCGGAAACACGAACGCGCCGGTTATCATGATAGCTGAGAAGGCTGCGGACATGATTAAGCAAGACCAGGCAACAGAATAATCATCGATTAACTCTCTGAGGCCTTACAGTCATCACCTGATTCGACGCAGAAAACTTATAAAATTTTCACTTCAGTATTAAACCTTGTGTAATGTATCGACACATAAAACATCGAAATAAAACAATCGAAGCGATGAAATGCGACAAACAATATTACGAAACGATACCATGAAACTGTTAGTGTTAGTGTAGATTATTTACTATTTACTTTACTAACAATTTACATCCGTCTTTTCGTGACAATGCTGGACAGGATGTAGAGACAGCTCGTGAGTGGGAAAACTTGTTTTTAATCGATATTCATATATGAATACACATGATTCATGGGAACCGGTTATTTTGAAAGTGACTTAAATCCAATTTTCCGAAAATTCAAGTTAACTGTTATAACGGTTATAATGTATAGTTGTTCATTACCCTTCTGTTTTTAAACAGCTTTCTTTTTAGATTAAGATACTCAACGTAAACTGTGTAGTAATAATAATCTCACTGTATCCTTACACTTTAATTTCTATATTTTTGCACAGCATGCTATAGACTTCCATTTATAAAGAAAAATATGGGAAATATCTGTAATAAACTTGTTTTCTACCGTGTTACAGTATAACACTGGAGCCACGGGAAGAATTGTTTATTACTAGCACACGTGCTAAGCAGATAATTAGATTCAATGGTTTAAGCTGTGAATAATTCAAAAATGTAAACTTGTCAATGTAAACGTCATAAAAACATTTATCGGATAATTTAAATTGTAGAATACGGATGGCACTGGTAAAAACAAATGAAAAACTTAACAAAATGATGAGCGGACAAATGCGAACTATTACAATTTAAAGGCAATATGCGGTATTGCCAGCTTCATTCCCTATCTCTGTCAGATGTGAAGATTTTATTTTATAGTTATATCTGATTATAGAAAAGTATAGTCCTTTCGACTACAGAAAATAAAATTCATGGCGTCGCCAACTTTATTCCCTATCTCTATGAGATGTAAGGACTGTATTTTCTATAATCACACCTGACTTCGTCGCATTCGATGTCCTAGTCTTTCTCGTTTCCCTGACTTTTTAGCTTTTAGGATAAGCAGTCTTTTCTACGTCGTACTATGCACACGCAAAAGAGAATTCCAAGAAACATAGTCGGGCCTCCGTGTCCCTGGGATTTCGCGAACATTTTCAGCCACCGGAAGGAAAACCGACGCCAATGTTCGGTCTCTATCGTTACATGTCACTCTATCGCGTTCTGTTTCGTCTGTGCTCCTTGTTAGACGACTCGTGTCAATAATAACAACGTGCCAACATCGACGCATATATAACAGCTACCCATCTTTACGTACTTCCAAAAGTTGTTTCCATCGTCAGGGAAGTAGCAGCATTGAGTTTTAAGGTAAACGAGACTTTTGTTTCACGTGTTTCTTAAAAATCGGAATAAATCCCGAGATTATTGCAGTCCTTAACTTAACATACAATACAAATGACAGTTTCGTCAAATCTCCATATCGGTTTGCAATGAAAATTAAAAATCGCGGAGAAATCGTGGAGGAATGAGATTTTCGTTCGACGCTTAATTATCCATGTTACCAGCCAGAATTTCCACCACACGTAACTAATAAGTTTTCACTGTCGATAGAGATTTGACAACCATAAAGGGAAATGGATATATCTACACCAGCACCAACAACGTCCCCGAACGCGGCAACTTTGGCCCTCCTGAATGTGCTAATCCAAATGTATAGACCGGACATCATAGACACCGAGCACAGGGTGAAATCGGTACCTCTGACCGAATTACGAACCCATTACGATTACATAGTAGTCGGCGGCGGGACAGCTGGCTCGGTTGTTGCTAATCGTTTATCGGAAAATTCTAACTGGACTGTGCTTCTGCTGGAAGCTGGCCACGATGAGCTACCGCTATCCGACGTACCTATATTGTGGCCAGACCTTCTAGGTAGACCAGATCTAATTTGGAACTATACAACCGAGCCGTCCGACAGATATTGTCTAGCCATGAACAACCATCAGTGCAGCTTTCCACGTGGCAGGGTATAATTATATTTAATATTTCATTAAAATCCTTAGAAAATTTACTATATCACCCAATCAATGGCAAACTTGGTCACATTATTTATTTTGCATAGAATCTTTCCAAATTGTCACTCACTGTAAATTACTTAATTAGAAGTTCCAGTCTGTTTAGCGATTAAAGTATCATTCTACGATTCCCTGTAGCATTAATAAAGAATACAATATTAAAGTTTGAGAACGCATTCTCCAAATTCCCATTGAAATGTTCCAGGTTCTCGGGGGAGGCAGCGTGTCGAACGCGATGGCGCACGTTCGCGGAAATAAGAACGACTACGACCGCTGGGGAAGTTTAGGTAATAAGGGTTGGGATTACGAGGGTGTGTTACCTTACTTTAGAAAGGCCGAGGACATGAGGATCAAGGATCTCGCGGATTCGCCGTATCACTCCACCGGAGGCTACCAAACCATTGATCACGTGAGGTTCCGTACTCCCATAGCAGATTATTTGCTAAGGGCAGGAGTAGAGTTAGGGTACAATCTGACGGATTACAATGGTGAACGACAAACGGGAACCAGCATTTTGCAAGCTGCAGTTAGGGATGGACTGCGTTGCAGTTCCGCGAAGGCCTACATTCGATCGGCCTCGAAAAGACCGAATCTACACGTCAGCCTGAATTCGACTGTCGAGAAGATTCTGATACGCGAGGGTAAGTGCGAATGGCAGTTTCCATTTTTTTACTGGTGTTCTATGAATAAGTAACGTTTTACAAATTACTTAAGAAGGTCGTTTGTTTTCTTGTACACTTCATTCTTTAAAACTACAATTCCATACTGAAAATTGATATTAAAGTGTTTAATTTCTGAACTTGCGACGCTGAATCGGGAAAGTGTACATTGTTTCATTTGGAACAGTCAATTTGACTCATTTTTAAAGACTCTGATACATTGAACTGCAGAGGAAGACGCTTGAATTACAAAAGATTCCTTCGAATTTACGATACAATTCCTGCAAGAACGATTGTATGTTTGATTAAATGAAAATCATTTCTTTTCGTCTTGTAGAGGGGAAAACGAAGAAAGCGCACGCGGTTCAATTTCGAGTGGGAGGTACCGTTCACACTGTATCGGTGCATCACGAGATCGTTTTGTCTGCCGGTCCGATAGGATCGCCGCAGTTGTTGATGGTGTCTGGTATTGGTCCCAAGAAGCACCTAGAAGAATTGGATATCCCCGTGGTACACAATGCACCGGGCGTGGGTCAAAACCTTCAGGACCACGTATCGATCGGCGGTTTATTCTACTTAATAGATCCACCGAAGGATTACATGGGCGTCTGGCCTTTCGCTTCTGTTGGGGATGCACCGTACACTAGGGCAATGGTCGATGACTTTATTTTCCGCCACGAAGGCCCCTTCTACACACAACTGTTGTGTGAAAATATAATGTTTGTTAATACCAAGTGAGTACTTTCCCACGTGAATCGCTTGCGCCTCGCAGGGATCATTGTGTTTCGTTGTGTTAACACGAGGAGACATTAATGAATCAGAGTAGGCGCCAAAAGTTGTAATTAATTCAATGAATAAGGCTCATACTTCAGGTACGCAAATAAATCGATAGACTGGCCAGACATAGAATTCATGGTATCGACTCAGGCTGACAACACGTACGGTGGTCGAACTCTAGCTAAGGGTGTCAATCTGAGAGACGATTTCTACAATGATCTTATCAAGAATGTCGAGGACAAACCGTCGTACGCGATTCTTCCTCTCCTGTTGCGACCAAAAAGCAGTGGATACATTAAATTACGCTCGAAGGATCAACGCGTGCATCCGATCATCGTTCCCAACTACTTCAGTCACCCGCACGATCTCGATGTCATTGTAAGGATACCCTTTTTAATTGATCTCGCAACTGTGTTCTATGTTCTATGTTTCCAATTACTATCTTCGCATGGTTTCTTCTTTCCAAATTCAAATTTGTTCAAATTTCATTCGAATCTCCTTTACCCCTTGGCCTGTAACCACGAGTGAGACTCGTGGTAAGGAATTTGTGCCATAGGCGAAAACTACGAGTCCGACTTGTGGTAAATACCTTGAATTCCGACCTTCTCGTTTACCATGGCTCGCGCGATCGGTAGACAGCGTGTAGGAAAAGGGGTTAAGGATTGACTAGTCAATCTTCTAAACTAACTTCATACATTCTATCTTTTCTGTTACATTTTTTTCATCAGTATTGCTTCTTGTTGGATTATAGAACAGATTTCGAACAGATTATACAACTGCGTTCTATATTCTATCTTTCCAATTACTATGTTCGCATGGTTACTTCTTTACAAATTCAAATTTGTTCAAATTTAATTCGAATCTCCTGCTGAGCTAACTTCATACATTCTAACATTGCGATTACATTCGTTTCATCAGCATTGCTCCTTGTTAGATTATAGAACACGTTTCTCCATGTAAAATTAGATATTAAATATATTAACATCGATGACTTTCTAATTAACACAGGCTCAAGCAGCGCAGATCATTCGTCAATTTAGCAAGAGCCCAACAATGAGGAAACTGAACGCTCGACCGAATCCAAACCACATCTCGGCATGCGCTTCGCACCTGTTCCTATCGGACGATTATTTTAAGTGTCTCGCCCAACAGTACTCGATGACGATCTACCACTTGTGCGGGACGTGCAAGATGGGTCCAGCGAGCGACCCAATGGCTGTCGTGGACGACAGACTAAGGGTGAGAGGAGTTCAAGGATTACGGGTCATCGATGCATCGATTATGCCGTATATCACCAACGGAAACACGAACTCGCCGACTGTCATGATAGGTGAGAAGGGTTCGGATCTGATTAAACAAGACCGAGGAGGAAAACACAAATCGTAGTGTCCGATTTATTTTTGAGCAAAATGGCGTCAGAAGATTGTATTGTGAAAGGGGTATTATATATAATTGTATTATATGGGCAACTATTATTGTTTAAGGGAACTTAATGAAAACATGAACCTTAGCCTTCAACTGCACCTGATTATATATTGTTCGTATATGTAAATAAACACAACGTCAATAGCGTATTTGTATTACACTTACGAGATCATGCGATCGATGTATTTCAGTGATCATAAGACATTTTGATTGGCACGATTTTGATGTAACAGTTACTGAACTCTTTTGTGTGACAAAATATAATAAACAGTACCACCACATGTTAATTTAGTTAATTATTGTAACCCTTAACTACCACACTAACGATAACGGACAAGGAAATCACACTAAGAACAAAATAATAGAGTAAAAACAGAACGCGGTAAGAAATGAGAAAACGCGATGGAAAAGCACGAAGCAAACTGGCGTGGACTCAACTGCTCCATGTGCGATTTCCTATTGACAATGAACTGCAACATTGTTTCTGATAAATTGCACAACTGTGTTTTATTTAAAATTCGCACGCAATCGTTGCTATGACGTTTTTTCCATAATTATCATTTACAATGTACCTGAATTCTATCAACTTCCGCGGTAATAAGTTTCGCTATGAAATATGATACATAGTTGACACTTGTATTTGCATACAGTAACGAGATATAAAATGGCTAACCCATTTTACTCGGGAGAGTTACCTGCAGTGTCAGAGAAATTGCAGCATTAAAGGTAATGGTCACCCAGACACATTTTTGACTTTTTTTTTTCATCAAACGTGACTAATATATTTTGATTGTTAGCAGAGACTTGGCAACCATAGACGAAAATGGAAACAACTACACCATCGCCAACTATGGCATCGAACATCAGTACTTTGACTCTCTTGAATACGCTAATCGAATTGTACAGACCGGATATCGTCGACTCCGAGCATAGGGTGAAATCGATACCTGTGTCCGAATTACAGTCTCATTACGATTATATAGTAATCGGCGGTGGGTCAGCTGGCTCGGTTGTTGCTAATCGTTTATCGGAAAATTCTAACTGGACGGTGCTTCTACTAGAAGCTGGCCAGGATGAGACATTACTAAACGACGTACCTAGGTTGTGGCCAAATCTTGCAGCTAGACCAGACCTAATTTGGAACTATAAAACCGAGCCGTCCGACAGATATTGTTTAGCCATGAACAACCATCAGTGCAGCTTTCCACGTGGCAGGGTATAAGTTATATTTAATATTTCATTACAATACTTAGAAAATTTACTATATCACCCAATCAATGGGAAACTTGGTCACATAGAAAATAGTTTCTCATTAAACAAGAGAAAGCAAAGTATTCTAACGAATCAAATGTGGAAGTATTAATCATAGCAAGACGAAGCAAGCTTCCTAAGTATTTCAATTACGAACATAATCGTGATTATCTTACCTATTTTGCATAGAATCTTCTCAAACGATCACTAACTCCAAATTACTTAATTAGATGTCTCAGTCTGTTTAGCGATTAAACGTCCATCCCACGATTCCCTGTAGCATTAATAAGGAATACGATATTGTACCTAACGTCTGGCAAAGTATTCTTCAAATCTTCATTGAAATGTTCCAGGATCTTGGGGGAAGCAGCGTGACGAACGTAATGCTTTACGTTCGTGGAAATAAGAATGACTACGACCGCTGGGCAAGTTTAGGTAATGCAGGTTGGGATTACGAGAGTGTGTTACCTTACTTTAAAAAGTCGGAGGACACGAGGATCAAAGAGTACGAGGATTCACCGTATCATGCCACTGGTGGACACCTAACTGTTGAACACTTCAGATACCATGCTCCTGTAGCAGATTATCTGCTGAGAGCGGGGCCAGAACTGGGGTACAAACTGACGGATTATAATGGTGCCCGACAAACTGGAACCTCCTATTCGCAAGGTACACTTAGAGACGGACTGCGTTGCAGTACGGCGAAGGCTTTCGTTCGGTCGGCCTCGAAAAGGCCGAATCTGCACGTCAGCCTGAATTCGACCGTCGAGAAGATTCTCATACGCAAATGTAAGTGCGAATAGCGGTTCCCGTTTTTATTTCTGTTCCACGAAACAGCTATATTTCGCCAGTTACTTAAGATCACTTGCTTTCTGTACAATGGATTATTTGAAATTACGATTTCATATCGGAAAGTGATATTAAAGTGTTTAATTTCTTAATTGTTCACTTGGAACAGTTACTTTCAATCAATAGTAAAAACTTTGACACATCGAATTGCAGAGGAGGCTGAAAGATAATTAAGGAATTACAGAAGATTTTTGATCGTAGAAGTTTCAATGGTGGATGTTCGAATTTCTAATGATACAGTTCCTCTAATCGTAATTGAGTGTAGAATTTGTTTTCGTCTTGTAGATGGAGACACGAAGAAAGCGCACGCGGTTCAGTTCCGAGTAGGAGATACCGTACACACTGTATCGGTGCATCACGAGATCGTTTTGTCTGCCGGTGCTGTAGGATCGCCGCAGTTGTTGACGCTGTCTGGTATTGGTCCCAGGAAGCACCTAGAAGAATTGAATATCTCCGTGGTACACGATTCACCGGGCGTGGGTGAAAATCTTCAGGACCACGTAGCGATCGGCGGTTTGTTCTACTTAGTAGATCCACCAAAGAATTATACGAGCGATTTGCCCTTTGCTGCTTTCGAAAGTCCTATTCCCGAGGCAATGATCGACGACTTTGTTTTCCACGAGAATGGCACCCTGTACACAGCTATGTCCGATAATATCATGTTTGTTAATACTAAGTGAGTACTTTGTCACGCGAGTCCCTTGCTTCTCACAGGAACTATTGTGTACCACTTTGTTAGCGCGAAAAAATTAATGCATCAAAGTAGGCGTCAAAAGCTGTAACTAATTTAATGAACAGGACTCTCATTTCAGGTACGCAAATGAATCGGCGAACTGGCCAGACATAGAACTTATGACAACAACATTTCCTGACAATTCGTACACTGGCCGAATTGTGGATGAGGCTGTCAATCTGAGAGAAGATTTTCGGAATGACCTTATCAGGAATGTTGAGTACCAACCGGCGTACTCGATTCTTCCCCTCCTGATGCGACCAAGAAGCAGAGGATACGTTAGATTACGCTCGAAGGATCAACGCGTGCATCCCATCATCGTTCCCAACTATTTCAGTGACCCGCACGATCTCGATGTCATTGTAAGGATATCTTTTTAATTAATAACGTTGCTGTGTTCTATGTTCTATCTTTCCAATTACTATGGTCGCATGGTTTCTGCCTTACAAACTCAAATTTGCTCAAATTTTATTCGAATCTCCTTAAGAGCAGAGTACTCAATCTTTTGAATTAACTTCATACATTCCAACTTTTCGGTTACATTTTCCTCATCAATATTGCTCGTTGTTGGATTATAGAACAGATTCCTCCATGTAACATTGGTTATTAAATATGTCGATATCGATGAATTACTAATTACACAGGCGCAAGGTGCACAGATTATTCGTCAACTCAGCGAGACCCCAACAATGAAGAAATTGAACGCTCGACCGAATCCAAACCACATCTCAGCATGCGCTTCGCACGAATTCCTGTCGGACGATTATTTTAAGTGTTTCGCCCAACAGTACTCGATGACGATCTACCACTTGTGCGGGACTTGCAAGATGGGTCCATCGAGCGACCCAATGGCTGTCGTGGACGACAGACTGAGGGTGCGAGGAGTTCAAGGATTACGGGTTATCGATGCATCGATTATGCCGTATATCACCAACGGAAACACGAACGCGCCGACTGTCATGATAGCTGAGAAAGGTTCGGATCTGATCAAAGAAGACCGTGGAAGAAAACATAGATGTAGTGCTTGATTTATTTTTGAACAAAATGGAGCCAGAAGATTGTATTGCGATAGGTATGGGTAACTACTATTGTTTAAGGGAAGTTAATGTAAACATGCACCTTAGCTTTTAATCGCACCTGATTATATATTGTTCGTATATGTAAACACAATGTCATTAGCGTATATTGTGTAACAACTACGAGATTTTATGATCAATGTATTTGAGTGATCTCGAGACGTCTGAATTGGCGTAATTTTGATGTAACAGTCACTGAATTCTTTTGTGTGACAAAATATAATAAACAGTACCACTACGTCTTAATTCAGTTAATTATTAAGTTAATTATTATTAATATTATTTAGTCGTGCTCTCTAAGCACACTATAGTACTCCTTACAGAAGATAATTGAGTTGAATGGTTTGAAGAGTGGAGGATGCAAAAGTGTAGACTTAAGGTTTAGGGTAACTGAGATTCTTCTCTCCTTGATGTTCTTTACAGAATGGCGTATATGTTTGAAATTTCTATTAAAAGAGACCGTGACGTTATTCGTGACGATATTCTTGTAAAAATGTTGAATCCTTTGACATACTAATAATTCCAAATTAATCACTTCCTCTATGGTTTTTTTCACAACCGTGCCAGATAAAACTACTTCGTCGTTAATAATGTAGTAGAAAAGGAGAGAAATGTCATGCTTATTTTCCGTCTACGTTTGCTCTAATGGTTAAAGATTGACAATAGACGAGTAGTATTTCATACACATTATAAATAAATAAACAACAAAGATATTATAATACTAAAAAACAATTTGTACTGAAAAAGAACTGTGACAATATTTGTTACAAGCTGGACACCTGTGTTTATTTAAAATTCCAACACAGTCGTCGCTGTGACAGTTTTTCGTATATTTCTCGCTTGAGAGGAGTGCATATTGGCTAAATTACGGAGATAACAACGCCCTTGCCTTTAGAATAAGATACATAGTTAACAACAGTATTTCCATACGTTCAACGAGATATAAGATGGCTAACACATTCCACTCGCGAGAATTACCTACAGTGTCAGAGAATTCGCAGCATTAAAGGTAATGGTAACCCAGACACTTTGTTTTCGAGTCTTTTTAAAGAAACTCTGTATGTAGCGAAAACTTGTACGTAAAGAGAACAGTGATATGTTTTGCGATTGACACCTGTCGATCTTCTTGTGAAAAGTGTCGAATATACAACAGTGGAATTATTTGTGTCAACGTTTCTTGTTTATTAGCACCACTAAAAAGCAAATATACATTCCTTTGTGAAACTTTCCTTGTCGAAACTATTTTACATGAAATTCTACTCATTATTTATGGTCAAGCTTGATTCTTCATTGTTCAGGGTTTCTTAAAAATCTGCACAATGTATGAAATACTTGTTACAGTTCATAACTTAATATACAATCACGTTTCGATCAATTTTTCCTATCTGTTCGTAACAAAAGTTAAAAATCCTGCAGAAATCGTAAAGACAAGAGGCTTTCCGCAGTCATTGTAGAGACAATTTGACCAATCGCTTAAAATAGACGACCGAACATAGAATTTTCACCAAACGTAATAAATTTTGACTGTTAGCAGAGACTTGGCAACCATAGACGAAAATGGAAACAACTACACCATCGCCAACTATGGCATCGAACATCAGTACTTTGACTCTCTTGAATGCGCTAATCGAATTGTACAGACCGGATATCGTCGACTCCGAGCACAGGGTGAAATCGATACCTGTGTCCGAATTACAGTCTCATTACGATTATATAGTAATCGGCGGTGGGTCAGCTGGCTCGGTTGTTGCTAATCGTTTATCGGAAAATTCTAACTGGACGGTGCTTCTGCTGGAAGCTGGACACGATGAGATACCGCTAACCGATGTGCCTGCGTTGTGGACGACATTTCTAGGTAGTGATGACCTAACCTGGAAATATAAATCCGAGCCGTCCGACAAATATTGTCTAGCTATGAACAACCATCAGTGCGTATTTCCACGTGGCAAGGTATAAATGATATTTCATAATTAGTCTTAATTTCACTAAGATCCTTAAAAGAATGACCATTTCACTCAGTCGGTGGTGAAATTTGTCATATCGAAAATAGTTTCTGATTAGACAATGATTATTAGATTATTAAAGGTGTTTCCTGAACGTAAACATTAACGACAAATGTCTTCAGTTGAAAAAATAATCGATATTATCTTATATATTTTGCACAAAATCTCCTCAAATGATCACTCGTTGCAAATTAATTAGAAGTGTCTGTTTAGCGATTCTTTGTAGCATTAATGAAGAACATGACATTATAGCTAACGTTTGTCAACATTTTCTTCAAATCTCATTGAAATGTTCAAGGTCCTCGGGGGAAGCAGCGTGTCGAACGCGATGCTTTACGCTCGCGGAAATAAGAGGGACTACGACAACTGGGCGAGGTTGGGTAATCGGGGGTGGGATTACGAGAGTGTGTTACCCTACTTCAAAAAGTCGGAGGACATGAGGATCAAAGAGTACGAGGATTCATCGTATCATGCCACTGGTGGAGACCTAACCGTCGAATACTTCAGATACCGTGCTCCTATATCAGACTATATGCTAACAGCGGGACCAGAAATGGGCTACAATCGGACGGATTATAATGGTGCCGAACAAACTGGAAGCTCCTATTCGCAAGGCACACTTAGAGACGGATTGCGTTGCAGCACAGCGAAGGGGTTTCTTCGATCGGTCTCGAAAAGGCCGAATCTACACGTCAGCATGAATTCGACCGTCGAGAAGATTCTCATACGCAAATGTAAGTGCGAATAGCGGTTCCCGTTTTTATTTCTGTTCCACGAAACAGCTATATTTCGCCAGTTACTTAAGATCACTTGCCTTCTGTACAATGGATTATTTGAAATTACGATTTCATATCGGAAAGTGATATTAAAGTGATGGTGGTTTCCGTTTTTCTTACTGTAGTATGAAAAGGCTAAATGTCGCAAGTTCCTTAAGATCATTTCTTTTCCTCTACACTTCATTCTTTAAAATTACACTTCCATATCGGAAAAAGTATTTAATTTCTTAATTTGTGATTTTGAATCGGAAAAGTGTACATTGTTCCATTTGGAACAGTTACTTTGAATCATTTATAAAAACTCTGATAGATTGAACTGCAGTGGAACTGAAAGATAGTTAATGAATTACAAAAGATTCTTGGTCATAGAAGTTTCAATGACCGATGTTCGGATTTATGATACAGTTGCTACAAGGGCTAATGTATGTTTCATTAAATAAAGATCATTTCTTTTCGTTTTGTAGTGGGATTCTTAAAGAAAGCGCACGCGGTTCAATTCCGAGTAGGAGACACCGTTCACACTGTATCGGCGAATCACGAGATCATTTTGTCTGCCGGTGCAATTGGATCGCCACAGTTATTAATGCTGTCTGGTATTGGTCCCAGGAAGCATCTAAGAGAATTAAAAATCCCCGTGGTACACGATTCACCGGGCGTGGGCAGAAATTTTCAGGATCACGTGTCGATCGGCGGTTTGTTCTACTTGGTAGATCCTCCAAAGAATTACACGAGCGATTTGCCTTTTTCTAATTTTCAAAAACCTTTTTCTACGGAGATGGTCGACGACTTTGTTTACCGCGACAATGGTCCCTTGTATACAAATATGTATGAAAATATGATGTTCGTTAATACCAAGTGAGTATTTTGTCACGCGAATCGCTTGCTCCTCTCAGGAACTATCGTGTTTCATTGCGTCGGCGCGCGAATATATTAACACTAGGTTTACGGAACGCGTGAAATCGACGCATATTGGATTTTATATTATTTTGTAAATGTTTACGTCGATTTTGATTGATGCGATCACACCGACACGTACCCCAATTACCTACGAATCTCTAGTTTCCACAATCTAAATAAACGAGCTTCGATTCTTTTAGGAATAATAGAATGAAGTGTACAATAAATGCCCGTAAACCTAGTGTTAATGAACCAAAGTAGCCGCCAGAAGTTGTATTTAATTTAATGCATGAGGCTCATATTTCAGATACGCAAATGAATCGGCGAATTGGCCAGACATACAATTTATGCTGACGACAACGCCTGCCAATTCGTTCAAAGGTCCAGCTCTGTCCGATGGTCTCAATCTCAGAGACGAGTTTTACGATGAACTTACCAAGAATGTTCAGAACGAAACGTCATACTCGGTTATGGTGGTCCTGTTAAGGCCAAAGAGCAGAGGATACATTAGGTTGCGTTCGAAGGATCAACGCGCGCATCCGATCATCGATCCCAACTACTTCACTGACGAGCACGATCTCGATGTCATTGTAAGGATAATTTTCTCATCAATTATTTTGTTGTGTAGTGTACCCTACGTTCCTAACTACTGTGTTCGCATTGTTTCCTCCTTAAAAATTCAAATTTGTTCAACTTTAATTCGAATCTCCATGAGAATTGAGTAGTTGATCTTTTCAAGTAACTTTATACCATTTTAATTAATTACGTTGCTGTGTTCTATCTTTTCAATTACTATATTCGCATTGTTTCCTCCTTACAAATTTAAGTTTGTTGAACTTTAATTCGAATCTCCTTAAGAATTGACTAGTCAATCTTCTGAACTATCTTCAGACAGTCTAATCTGTCAACTGAATTCCTTTCATCATTGCTCCTGGCTAGATTATAGAACACATTTTTCCATGTAACATTGGTTATAAAATATACTAACATCGATGACTTTCTAATTAACACAGGCCCAAGGAGCACAGATCGCTTATCAGTTTAGCCAGACCCCAACAATGAAGAAACTGAACGCCCGGCCGAATCCAAACCAGGTCCCAGAATGCGCTTCACACGAATTCCTGTCGGACGATTATTATAAATGTCTGGCCCGACAGTTCCCTTTGACAAACTCCCACTTGTGCGGAACTTGCAAAATGGGACCAGGGACCGACCCAATGGCTGTCGTGGACGACAAACTGAGGGTGCGAGGGGTTAAAGGGTTACGAGTCATCGACGCGTCGATCATGCCGCATATCACTTCCGGAAACACGAACGCGCCGACTGTCATGATAGCTGAGAAGGGTGCGGATCTGATTAAAAAAGGCCGAGAAGGAAGATACAAATTCCAGTGTCCGATTCGTTAGTGAGCAATATGGAATCAGAAGATTGTATTGTAAAAGGTATGGGTAACTACTATTGTTTAAGGGAACTTAATGTAAACGTGCACCTTAGCTTTAAAGCGCACCTGATTATATACTATTGGTCTATGTAAAAAAACACAATGTCAATAGCATATTTGTATTACACTTACGAGATCATGCGATCGATCTATGCGAGTGATCATAAGACATTTTAATTGGCACGATTTTGATGTAACAGTTACTTAACCCTTTTTCTTACTAACTTAACCCTTAACACTTCCGGAAACACGAACGCGCCGACTGTCATGATAGCTGAGAAGGCTTCGGATCTGATTAACCCCTTAACTTGCACGCTCGAGTTAATTCGAGCGCGCTAAACGGGCCAAACTGTGAAAATAACAATGTGAAAGCAAAAAAGAATCGTTTTATTGATATTTATCATTTACATGGGATTATAAGCTATAACGCTTATTTATTCAGGAATAAAATATAACCTTTTTCCATGGAACAAAAGCGCAGTATATCAAAATTTATTTTTTTGGCCGGTTTTTTTAAAAAAAAACTGTGCGTTAAGGGGTTAAACGAGGCCGTAGAAGGAAACTGTAGATTCTAGTGTCCGATTTATTTTTAAGCAAAATGGAGCAAGGCGATTGTACTGTAAAAGGTATGGGTAACTACTATCGTTTAAGGGAACTTAATGTATACATGAACCTTATCCTTTCAGCCTTTGCACTCGAGAATATTTTTCTCAATAAATATTCATTACTTTCTGATGAGAAGTCAGTGATATTTTTTACAATTAACATAAGGATCTACCTTGCATAAATTAAGTGACAACTATTTTATTTCGATGTTCCATATGTTCGGACATTATATAAAATTTAATATGGAATTTTCAATTTTACAATGTTCTTGGGTCAAATCAAATGGCGACTGGAAGGCGCCTCTCGAGTGCAAAGGGTTAATTGTAATATGTAAATAAACACAATGTCATTAGCGTATTTGTATTACACTTACGAGATCATGCGATCAATGTATTCGAGTGATCATGAGGTATTTTAATTGGTACAGTTTCGATGCAACAGTTACTGAACTCTTCTGTGTGATAAGATACAATAAACAGTGTTATCAAATCGTAATGTAAATTCATTAAGATTAGCCTGATTAATGTACTAATTACTTTACTGAGTATTTGCTTTAATCTACTTTTCGTGACAATGGCGAACACGGTGCGGTTGCAGCTCGTGAGTGGGAAAACTTGTTTCAAATGTGTGAGACATTCACTGTCACTTTTCGTACCGTTCCATGATCAGAAACGTTTCTGTTACTTTGCGTTGTTAAACAATTATTGCGGATAATTATTCCAGGCACAAAATAACCACCAGTGAAAGTGTTCCTGGCACTGGAATCTCAAAAAATTCCAAATATGAACGTTGACCGATTTGTCCTGCGAGCGGCTCGAGTGACGCAAAGAATAATAAATAATGTTATAACATAGTCCAATCTCGGTAATACACAGTGATACATACAACAATACGTAGAACAGATAATTTACAAAGATGCAGAGCGTAAGAGGAGAACGCAAATTTCTATTTGCACGATCTTGCAGCGTACTATTAGCTCCGAGAACACGGTGATAACAGTAGACGTTTATCTAAAATATGACACATTTATAGCAGGTTGAAATTTAGAATACACTCACTTATCGAATTAGTATTTGCATGGGTGGGTGGGCTACGATATATAATGGAAATCTTTCATACTTCTGAAAGTTGTCTCTGATGTGGGAGAATTGGTAGCATTCAGGTAAGGAAGTCGAGGTTTCTCTTTTTTCGACGTTCTTTGAGAAAGTCGTGAGTGTCAGAGAAATTTCTATTAAAAAAGATCGCGATGTTCCTTGTGATGAATATGACGATATTCTTGTTAAAATGTTGAATTCTTTGACATAGTGATAATTCCAAATTAACCACTTGTTCTACGATTTGTTTCACAACTTTGCTTGGTAAATTACTTTATCGTTAATAATGTAGTAGAAAAAGAGAGAAATTTCATGTTCATTTTCCGTCTACGTTTGCTCCACTTGTTAAAGATTGACAATAGACAAGGGTGCATATTGGCTAAATTACGGAAATAACAACGCCCTTGCCTTTAGAATAAGATACATAGTTAACAGCAGTATTTCCATACGTTAAACGAGATATAAGATGGCTAACATATTCCACTCGCGAGAATTACCTACAGTGTCGGAGAATTCGCAGCATTAAAGGTAATGGTGAACCAGACACTTAGTTCTCGAGTTTTATTAAACGAATAGTGTATGCAGTGAAAATTTATATGCAAACAGAACAGCGACATTTTTTGCGAAAGCTGTCGAATATATAACAGTGGAATTGTTTGTGTCAACGTTTCTTGCTTATTAGCACCATTAAAAAACAAGTATAAATCCCTTTGTGAAACTTTCCTTGTCGAAACTCTTTTACATGAAATTCCACTTATTTTGTAATAATGTTAACGCCCGATTTATGGTCAAGCTTGATTCTTCATTGTTGTGGGTTTCTTAAAAATCTGAATAATGTCTGAGATACTTGTTACAGTTCATAACTTAACATGCAATTACGTTATAATAATTAAAAACTGAGGAGAATTCGTGGAGAACTGAAATTTTCGACAGTCCGTCAATTATCCATTCTACCAGCCGGTTAAAATAGAACGAACGTACAATTTTCGGCAAACGTAACTAATCAATTTTACCTGTTGACAGACGTGACAGCCATAAAAGAAAATGGAAATAGCTACACCATCGCCAACTATGGCATCGAACATCAGCACTCTGTCCATCCTGAATTTGCTAATCCAAATGTACCGACCGGATATCACCGACTCCGAGGACAGAGTGAAGTCGGAACCTCTGACCGCATTACGAGCTCGTTACGATTACATAGTAGTCGGTGGTGGGTCAGCTGGCTCGGTTGTTGCTAATCGTTTATCGGAAAATCCTAAATGGAGTGTGCTTCTACTGGAAGCTGGCCACGATGAGCTACCTGTATCCGACGTACCTATATTGTGGCCAGACCTTCTAGGCAGAGAAGACGTGCTATGGAACTATAAAACCGAGCCGTCCGACAGATACTGTCTAGGTATGAACAACCATCAGTGCAGCTTTCCACGTGGCAAGGTATAGTTGATATTTAATATGTCATTCGAATCCATAGAAAATTTACGTTCCACGTTCCGTGTGCAAAGGGTTAATAAAGAATACGATACTGTAGCTAACGTTTGACAACATATTCTTCAAATTCCCATTGAAATGTTCCAGGTTCTCGGGGGAAGCAGCGTGTCGAACGCGATGCTGCACGTTCGCGGAAATAAGAATGACTTCGACCGCTGGGCAAGCTTAGGTAATCCGGGTTGGGATTACGAGAGTGTATTACCTTACTTTAAAAAGCCGGAGGACATGAAGATCGCGAATCTCGCGGATTCGCCGTATCACTCCACCGGAGGCTACCAAACTATCGACCACTTTAGATTCCGCACTGCCATATCAGATTATCTGCTAAAGGCGGGTATAGAATTGGGGTACAACCTGACGGATTATAATGGTGAACGACAAACCGGAAGCTCCATTTCGCAAGGTGCAATTAGAAATGGACTGCGTTGCAGTACAGCAAAGGCCTTCATTCGATCGGCCTCGAAAAGGCCGAATCTGCACGTCAGCCTGAATTCGACTGTGGAGAAGATCCTGATACGCAAAGGTAAATGCAGGTGACAGTTCCCGTTTTTACTACTGTTCTGTGAAACAGCTATATTTCGTCAGTTACTTGGGATCATTCCATTTCCTCTACATTTCATTCTTTAAAACCACAATTCCATATTGGAAATTAAAGTATTTAATTTCTTAATTGGTGATTTTGAATCGGAAAAGTGTTGTTTCATTTGGAACAGTTGCTTTGACTCATTTTTAAAGACTTTGATTGATTGAACTGCAGCGGAAGCTAAAAGACACTTAATTACAAAAGATTCTTGGACATAGAGGTTTGAATGATCGATGTTCGAATTTTTAACACGTTGAACGCCGCACCTTTTCATAGAGCAAAATACATGAAATGGAAAAAATCAAATATTGAATCATTCGATTGAATTGGATTATTGTTATTGCACGTTTGTCTACCTAAACGTCGCCGCATTAGGTAACATTATTTAGAATATAGAAATATTTTTAAATGATCATCGTTTAATTGAGCGAACCATAGTAATTCGTTTTGGTTGGGGGTCACCGGTGACCCCCACGGCATTCAACGCGTTAATGATACAGTTCCTGCAATAGTAACTGAATGTATAATTTCTTTTCGTCTTGTAGATGGGGACACGAACAGAGCGTACGCGGTTCAATTTCGAGTGGGAGATACCGTTCGTACTGTATCGGCGCGTTACGAGATCATTTTGTCTGCCGGTCCGATAGGATCGCCGCAGTTGTTGATGCTGTCTGGTATCGGTCCCAGGAAGCACCTAGAAGAATTGAATGTCCCCGTGGTACACGATTCACCGGGCGTGGGTGAAAATCTTCAGGACCACGTATCGATCGGCGGTTTGTTCTACTTAGTAGATCCACCAAAGGATTACAGGGGCACCTGGCCCTTTTCTTCCATTGAAGAAAAAGGACCTATCTCTGACACAATGGTCGTTGACTTTGTTTTCCGCGACAACGGCCCCCTGTATACGCAAATGATGTCCGAAAATATAATGTTTGTCAATACCAAGTGAGTACTTTGCCACAATCGCTTGCTCCTCGCAGGAACCATTGCTTCATTGTGCTAACATGAGAACCAATTAATGCTTCAAAGTAGGTGTCACAAGTTGTAATTGATTTAATGAATACTGCTCATGTTTCAGGTATGCAAACAAATCGATAGACTGGCCAGACATAGAGTTTATGGTATCAACTCTGCCCGACAATGCGTATGGTGGCCAAAATCTGAAAGTGGGTGTCAATCTGAGAGACGATTTCTACAATGATCTTACCAAAAATGTTCAGGAAAAACCGGCGTACGCGATTCTTCCGCTCCTGTTGAGACCAAAAAGCAGAGGATACATTAGGTTACGCTCGAACGATCAACGCGTGCATCCCATCATCGTTCCCAACTACTACAGTGATCCGCAGGATCTCGATGTCATCGTAAGGATACCTTTTAACTGATCTCGCAACTGTGTTCTATTTTCTATCTTTCCAATTACTAAGCATGCTTTCTTCTTTACAAATTCAAGTTTGCATTGCTCCTTGTCAGATTATAGAACACGTTTCTCCATGTAAAATTAGATATTAAATATATTAACATCGATGACTTTTTAATTAACACAGGCTCAAGCAGCGCAGATCATTCGTCAATTTAGCAAGAGCCCAACAATGAGGAAACTGAACGCTCGACCGAATCCAAACCACATCTCGGCATGCGCTTCGCACCTGTTCCTATCAGACGATTATTTTAAGTGTCTCGCCCAACAGTACTCGATGACGATCTACCACTTGTGCGGGACGTGCAAGATGGGTCCGGCGAGCGACCCAATGGCTGTCGTGGACGACAGACTGAGGGTGAGAGGAGTTGAACGATTACGAGTCATCGACGCGTCGATTATGCCGCTTATCACTTCCGGAAACACGAACTCGCCGACTGTCATGATAGCTGAGAAGGGTTCGGACATGATTAAAGAAGATCGCGAAGGGAAAAGGTAGACAACAGTCATTCATTTTTCAGCGAAATCGAATCGGAAGGTCATTCTACAAGAATGTATTATTGTACTGAATTTAATGTGTCATTTGTAATTATAAGTGATTTTATATTGTTCGTACATATAAATAAACGTAATAACATTTTGACACCGATTACTGTTGAATTGTAAAATAGGGATAACCACGAGAAAAGCAAGAGAAACATGTGGTCGCGTGAGTGTTGAGATGACGCTCGCGATGATTATTAGGATAATATCTATAGTCGCAAGAGTGATGGTTCCTTTGAACTTGTTTGCATCACTGCGCATTACATAATCGTAAAAAAACTGATGAATGATTGAGAAGTTAGATGTCAGATCAGACCCACAAGATATAGAAAAACGCAACAGCATTCTCCTGAAACGTTCGATGCACGTTGCGGCAGTCGTCATCGTCGTCGATGATACACGCGAGTTTAACGTTTCTGCAGCTTCACTGAAAATTCTTTATGGTGCATCGAAATGAAAATTGACATTAACACGGGGGTCACCGGTGACCCCAACCAAATCGAATTACAGTTCACTAGCTCAAAAGATGATTATTTGGCAGTACTTCCATATTATAATGTTACCTAAGTCAATGGGAATTTTGCGACAGCCTCTTTATCTCAATGTCCATCAAACGATATTAACACGGTGAATACCATGGGGGTCACCGGTGACCCCAGCCAAATCGAATTACAGTTCAATCGCTTGAAAGATGATTATTTGGCAATACTTCCATATTATAATGTTACCTAAGTCAATGGAAATTTCGCGACAGCCTCTTTATCTCAATGTCCATCAAACCGAAAGTGTTTAATCACGTTACGCGGAAGTGCGATCATTTCTGTTCACGTTATACAATGAGTCAGCTGTTTCGCATTTCGCTTAACGTATGCAAATACTACTGTTAACAATGTATCGCATTTTAAACACAAACGAATCGTTATCTCCGTAGTTCAGCCGATTTAGACCCATCGCAAACGAACGGTGCGCAAAAGGAACGTCACAGCGACGATTGTGTTGGAGTTACAAACGAACAAAGTTCTTCTATCTCGAGCGAAAGAGGATGAGAGAACCTTTCGTCTCTGTCGTTCCAAAGCAATCATCGCTTAGAAATTTTCCCGCCAATCGCTTGTTCACATTTGGATTAAATATGAATTACAAGGTTATCGAGTAGGAGCCTACTTTTATACTTTTATCAATCATTTATTATTGTATGTATCGTTACGTGTATTATTACGTATATGTATTAAGATATATTTATTCGCTTAATTAATTATTCTACGGCACTCGTGGAGTGCACACTTCTTCATATTTAGTAGCATTATTGATGATATATTTGAATGCACGGAATGGACAAAATATGATATTAAATGATTTGATTGAATCCCGTTATTTTTGTTGCACGTTCATCTAGTTGAATGTCACTGCATCGGATAGCATTATTTTGAATATAAAAATGTTTCGAAATTTTAACTTGAAATCATTCGTTCTCAATTGAATTTCCATTTCCTATAGTTACTTGGAAGCTATATCTTGACACCTTCGATAAAAATAGCGTTAACAGGCTGAAATGATGTATACAATCACTTATCGAATTAGTATTTGCATATATAGGCTACGATATACATCAGTTACTTGTTTTACTTCCTATTACGGTTTAAGGTGATCGAGATTCTCCTTGCGATGTTCATTCAGAATGCATATAAATTTCATGAATTAATCAGCGCCAATTAGTTTGATCGCTAGCATTCGATACATTCGTTAAAACCAGCGCATAAAATTTCCCATAATAAATTTCTATTAGACAACAGAGCCTCCGAGGAGACTTGATTTGCACCTTGATACCCAAACACTGCATATTCATTGTTGCTGACTAATCAAAGCATGTAGACCAGGATACAATTATTCCTCTGTGCGAATATTTTTCTATAAATTCATTAATATCATAGAAGAACGAATATACAATGTCCTCGTGAAAGTTTCCTCGCGGAAACGGCTTTGGTTTTTTAATAGGGTTACGGTTGAATCGCGAATATACGTGTTTCACCGAAAACAACATATACATTCGATTTGTTAACCCTTTGCACTCGGAAGTTTCTCAGTAGAAATATGTGGACATTTTCTGATGAAATATAGACGACATTGTTTGAAACTAATTTATTTTATTTAAATATTTCACATTGCAAAATGTAATTTTAATTTAAAATACTGAATATTCAACTTCATAGTTTTGCTCTATCAAATCATTTGGCGACTGGGAGTCGCCTTTCGAGTGCAAAGGGTTAATAGGAAGTTCGGGTATTTTCATTAGCAGCAATCATTATCTCGACAGTGAGTACATTGGCCCTCTTGAATGTACTGATCGGTTGAGTTGTCGTAACACACGGAAGGATTACCGTGTAAACGGTTGGGTTCTCGTCTCGATTGTAAAATGACACGGCGAATTGCTGTAAAAGTAATACTATATTACAACTACACGGATTTCGAGGTGTCGCAACGTTTGTGAAAATAGCGCGTTCGTGGAGTTCTCTTTCGCGAAGTTTCGTAGCGTCGTATTTTATGTAAACTCGAGTTTCTAGGGATTGGTCAGTTGTATTTTTGGGTGGAGGAGATTTCCGTTTCGTCATTGGTCGAGGGTGTGCCTATTTTGCTTCTTACGGTGGGAAATTGTCAAAAGTCTAGGTTCGTTTCGTCAGCGTCGTGATTTATAACTGTTTGTCTGGTCTTTACGGTTACGGGTTTTTTACGGTGACAGCCTGTCGCTGCGTTACACGTGGCGTCCAAGTATTTTACGATGACTACCATAAAAATCAGCAAGATTTCGGAGTGCTCGCGCAGCTCGTCTGTAATTGCGGGATTATCTTAGATCGCGTCGCTGTCGATTGTACGTCGGAACGTAACGTGATCGAATATTTTCGACCGAATATCGTTGGCCGCGAATTAAAAAATGGGACCAGCGATCCAAACGCTGCCGTGGACGAAAAACTGAGGGTCCGAGGAGTTAAAGGATTACGAGTCATCGTCGATTATACCGCACATCGGCGCCGGTTATCATTATGGCCGAGAAAGGTTCGGGCATGATCAACATTAATTGTATCACGTATTTTTATAACGAACCATACCGCGATGTGACTTTCGATCACTTATGAGAATAAAAGGAACGATTAGAATGTTATTGTTTTTGTTCATAGGGCCCAAATTTTAAAGTTCAGATAATCGCGTTCGATGATCTTCTAGTGAAATAAAAGCGAAAGCACTGTCATCGGAATCGAATTAGTTTAAGACAAACTTCTGTAATCGTTCGTGATTTTATATGATATGTATGTGTAAATAATGTAATAATGTAAAGTATGTAATAATACTCAAAGCTTCCTGTAACTGTTTTCTGGATTAGATTCCAATTTCAATGTACGTTCATTTTTCCAATGTCAGTGCAACGAAACGTAAAATCATAGTGTACCGACTAATGAATTTATATTGAACGGCCAACAGCATACGCGAAATTCAGTTCTGCTCGAGAATCTAGTAAATATCTGTAAGTACGTTGATACAAACGTGTAATTTTCAAATAACATCGTCGTTATCCTTCAATATCATCCGGCATTTTTGTGAAAGGAAACCGCGTGGAAGCCTTGAATTTCAATTACGCTTTTATTTAATTAAGGAAACACGATTCGCAGTAATTCACACGGTAAATATTAATCCGTGATCTCCGAAAAGCCAGCATTATCCGTCGCTATCCGACAGCACGCGCCATTAGTACGCAACGCAAGGGCGGGAGATCGCGATAAATTCGAATTGCATTTAACTTACCGAGAAGTTGGAAGGTTACTCTTGATTTATGTGAGAATTATCCGTACGTTGGACCATAAAAACTAACTACAACGATTTATCATACGTCCGTACACGAATAGACTCCGCGTTTATTCAAGATAGATAACGGATAGCGCGGAACAGAAACTACTTGTCGGCCAGCGAGGTGTCTTTCGCCTATGTGTTCTGTTTATTCGCGCGGATTAGTGTTCGCGGCCGTTTCGGCAAATGGCACGCTAGATCCGCGAATCCGTGTGAGAATGGGCGTGCCCTCTTCCACTCCGGCCACTTGGACCCGCATTCCTCCGCCGAGGCAACAAGTCATCTGCTCGGGATATATAGCCACAATTACGATGCGCAGCCTTGCTGAAAAAACCGGGGGGAGACTTTTATTCGACGGCTGCACGATTGCAGGCGGCCTGACATTGTTAAATATATGCACACTGTATCACGACCCCCTAATGCCACGAGACTTTCTTCAGCCACGCAATCGCCAGTGCTCAGCTACACACATATATATCTGAAATGTGAACTGCGATATGCTTCACTTCCCCGGTTAAACTAGTACACGTTGTTGCTCGGCTATCCAAGCAGCGCCCGAGAGTGGGACCAGCGGTGTAATTATATAATAACAGTGGATTGTTAACGGCCGCAGGTAAGCAACCAGAAGACGAACGCGTGCTGATCTCATTCGGTGCTGGGTTCATCCATTTTTTCGGGACTCGCGCGGCCTCGCGACGAAACTATGGGCCAATCGCTCTCCGCTCTGCTATACAACGCTTCACGCATGATTGCTGCCGGGACATGCGGTGCCGAACAAAACCATGTACTTGTTGGTTTCTGTTTATTTCATATAGGGTGCTCCGTTTCGTTGGGAACGCGGGAACGCTTCGGAAAACAGTCGGGATGCCAGGGATTCGTTATTGTCGGAGTTGTTCAGTACTCGGAGTGACGTCGAACTGTTCGTAGGGGAAAATGAGGAACTCCGGTTTCTCAATTCACTCGGATTTCAGTGCTGACGGCTTGAAACAACTTTCGTGTGTTTCATTTTGGGAGTTGATCGTTTCTGTGACTATGTTTGGCGATAGAATAATAGAAATTGTGTCGATTGAAACATTGATTGTGTTTCGTTGATGGGTTGCAATTTGAAGGGATGACACGTGATTCGTTTTGACTCTGAGATTTGCAACAGTTTGTTCATTGAATTGTTATCGGATAATATATACATAGATTATGGTGGTTTTTTATGTATAACGAAATGAATCCATGGACGAAAGTAATTTTACAATCGCCCAGTGTGTCGGACATTACTTTCCATAATTAGTTAATGAAGTCTATGAATCTGACGCTTCTTATGTAAGCAAAACACGAAGTAAAAGTATATACAAGAAGCAGTACGAATATCGCCCGGCCAGCTGTTTCTGTACTTTAATGGACATAAAAAGATGGCGAGATAATTGTGCGCGTCTTAACGTAACTTTTTCTCGTTAATCTCGTTACATGTAACTACTCGTTTCGCTGGCGTGCAAATATATCACACAAACTTTCCAGCGAGCGTGCTTTTTCAAATATTGCACAATTGTTATTCACTACAACTTCTTCAAACCAAACTCCCACTTCGTCGTTCATTCAACATTTCACACTTCCATCCAATACATCGAGGAAAACAAATGATCGTTCATTCACTAACTCCCGTTCGAATTGGATATTCGTTAAGCCGAAAATACTTTTGCATAAACCAACATAAAAAATCTAATCTTCGAGCAGTATCGATTTCAACTCTATTCCGTTCCATCTCACGTGTCATTGCTAATTTTCCACGATTATCCAAAACGATCACCAGCCAACAGAGGCGAATCCTCCGAAGAGAAGGAGGAGAAAACAGAATCGAAAGCGAGAAAAAGAGGAACAAGCCGACAGGAGTTTTCTATCGCGGTAGCCGTAGCCCAGCGATTTAAGGAGGCACTTTCAGCGAGGCTGGCGCGAGTGAAACCGTGGAACACCTCGGCGCAATTCGCCGATTCGCGCTCGCCTGGGCAGCCATCGGCCGCGGACTCGCTTCGTCCTGGAGCGTGCCTTCTTTTTCGGCCCTCCGTTTCGCACCGCCGCGACGCGTCGTCACTTTTCGCTGGTCGGCCCGGTCGAGGAGTCGGTAATACACACTCTTACTTACACGTGACCGCGCGTCCCGGCCGCAGCAACTTGAAAGGCTGCGGCGCGCTTTCGCCGAGCGAAATTTTCGAAATTCTCCGCGGAATCCTCGTTCGATTCTTCGCCCGTGGCTCGATACTGTGCGATCGGCAAACGATACTTCGCCGGCGGGACTCGAAGACTCGCGGCAGGATTCGGCGGATCGAAGTTATGTGATCCGTGTCGAAATCGAAGAATGATCGAACGAAGCGTGAAGCGGAGATGATCGTGCAACGGACGTGCTGAGATCTTACGGGCTTCCTATCGGTGAGTGTTACTTGTCAATCAGACTTCTGGCGAAGGCACGATGCGCGCCGTTGCGCAAACGCTTCTTTCGTTTGAACAAAGAGCGTTAGATGGCCCGTTTATTCCACTCTGCGCGGAGTTTATTTCGTTTTCAGGGAATTGGGAAATTAGGTGTTATATCACAAGTTTGAACAGGGAAAGCGGATTTATTTTTCTTATTTAGTTCTTCATTGAGTTTTTCTGCTGAATCGTGTTAATGGGAGATGATACGTTTTATGTCTCGGGAAATTTGAATTGTAAATGATAACTATCTGTCAGTGTAGAGAATTTTCTTTGATAAGGCTTACTGAAATATGATTGTTATTAATCATACGTGACTCGTGGAAGGACAGGCGAAAATTCAATCGAGATATGCTTTTTCGGAATAATTCTGAAAAGGAAGGATGCTTTACTTTACGATGGCATAATGTTTCTCCAATTCATTATCGTAAATGACCAGGTAATCAACGTTTCTTATCTGCTAGATAGTACAGAATCACATTCGATCAGTTGTGTAACCTGCTATATTTTTTATCATAGTTTTGCATTTCAAATGACTCGCTCGCAGTGAGTCATAATTAATCATCGTATCAGGAATACCTATGCTTCTATTTTCAACTGAATTCATTTACAGTAAACTAATAATAAATTACCTTCGAGACGTGAAAATCCATAAACATATTTCTGGCACTCCCGAGGAATTTCGTCTTACCTGTAACAAAGGATAAATGTTTATTTTAATGATTTTTTATTTCAGTGATTTTAAAAAATACAATAACATCATTGTTTCGTCGAAGTTTATTCAGTAATATGTAATGTACATCTCCATAAGGTTTTTAACTATCCGGAATTAACATTCAAAGGATTAATTAGCATTGTTCCGACTGTGAGGCATCTTTTCCCTTTAATGAGAAGTTTCTTTAAGCAGCCGCACGTGTGCCACACGTGAGTAACAGCAGATCGTGGGAGGTAGATGCAAATAAAGTCTGTTCTAGAAATAAGTGATCGGAGTTCGGGGGAACATCCTACCTACTTGCTTCGAAAACAAGTTTCATATTTAGTTCGCGCTCGGGGGACTAAAATTTACGAGAAACGCTCACTGAATGTTAGTATACACGCGTAAACAGAAAATTACATTTCCCTGTTTACCCGCAATTCTGATAAAGTATCGAATTCCTGTCGAAAACTGCCTGTTCCTACCAATTAACGTTGCAACAGAATTTAAGCAGCTTGTAAGCTAATCACTGACTAAAGTGGTTAAATCCATTTCTTTGCAATTTCAAATTTTATGCTACGTTCAATCGATTCTCTAACGATACGATCTAGCAATTTCTTTCATTTCTGTCTCGTTAGTTTCTTTCGCAAACAAACATTCTCCGTACTACACGATCCAATAGAAGTTGATCTCCAATTTCTGTTGTCTAATTAACCCTAATCGTACCACGTGTTTATATAACGAATAATACCACGATGTGACTCTCAGCCACTCATGAGAAAAGAAACTGCAAATGCAATATGAAATTATGAAAAAATTTCAGTGAAATTTTCGAATGTCACTGAAAGTCACGTCGTGGTCCGATTAGGGTTAACCCTTAGCACTCCAGGTTGTTTTGTAATCTATCATCAACTGCAACTAATTTTTATATTCCTAGCGAAAATGAGAAATGTTATAACATTTCTGCGATCGTTTATTTTCCTTAGTACAAAATTTCGATGTGGAAGATCGAATAATTTTAGGGTAGTTTCTTTAAGATTCATTGAAATATCTAATGTTATTCCTGGTGCATGGAGCCTACAGAGTTGAAAGGGTTAACACCAGATTCTCAAAACCCTGAATTCGGAATCTATCTCAAGAGTGTCGAATACTTCCAGCAGAAAACCTGTGGGTACCCAAGCAACCAACCGATCTCTTAACGATACGGTCCCACCAATTCCATCAATTCCACAAATTCTCGGAACGCGGACGTTAGCCGGTTCAACTGAGAAATGACTCATCGGTGATATGCGCGACCTAACCAAGCGACCCCGAATTCGCCGCAGCATCTGCCAGACGAAACTGCTCCCCGATGGGACACGCGTTAGTTTATTTCTCTCCTCCGGAGTGTCTTCGCTTTCGTTTTGCATGACGCGTGCTCCAGGCTCGAGTGGTTCAGTGACTGGGATGACGTCAGGTTGCTCTTTCTCCGGAAGAGAGCGAATGGCCCCTCGACTGCACGCCGCTAGCTCTTTAATTAGCGCGTCTAGTGTAGCCGCGGCTTTGAACGGGGCTCTTGCCAGTCCGACCGACCGGCGATCGCTCGTCCTCGCCGTCTTTGAGCTTTCACGCGCGCGACCAGACACACTCTCGGATGAGCCCGTCCCGACGAAACGCGACCGTCCCTCGAGCCAGCAGCCGCTCCGGGCCACCCAAATGTCTTCCGCGAGACAGTGACACCGTTCTCCGCCGCGCGACGCTCCCTTCCAGACGAAATCGCAGGTAAACCTGACCTTCCATTCTTTCGATCGCTTTTCTTGTACGAGTTTCTTGCGGGACTTGTAACGTACTGTCGAAATGTGGAAACTGTTGCACCAGCCGGCGTATGGCGCCGTTCCGCTCTTGCCGAGACCTCGGGGCAGAGGGTACATTAACCCTTTGCACTCGAGAATATTTTTCTCAAGAGATATTCATTATTTTCGGATAAAATATGAATGATACTTTTTACCAGTGATATAAAGAAATAGCTTGCATAGATTAAGCGATAGAACTATTTTATTTCGATGTTCCATGTGTCGATACATTATAGAAAATTTCATATTGAATTCTAAATTTGATCATTTTCTGGGTCGATTCCAGTGGCGACTGAAAGGCGCCTCTCGAGTGCAAAGGGTTAACCCCTTAACGTACAATGACGAGTGAGACTCGTGATGAAGATTTCGGGATTAGTTTAATAAACATGAATATTTAATCAATATATTATCTTGAAAGATAATAAAAATCAATATATTATCTTAAAAATTATTTGATAATTATTATGAATATATTATCTTGAAAGGAAATTTGTACATAAAGTGCAGTGGACAATTTCTTTGCGTATTTTCTGAACTGCTGATAGAAACATTTTGCACGAGCTTAGTAGCAAAAGTAAATAATACGGCAAGGGGTTGAACTGCGCTCGAAGCACCCGCACGTGCATCCGATCA